GAACAAGCTGCCTCCAGAAGCAGTAAATGCTCCAACACTGGAAGTTTTTAAGAAGAGACTGGACAGCCATTTGTCCAAAATGGTATAGCAGGGGTAGGTAACCTTGGCTCGTTTATGACTGGTGGACTTCAACTTCCAGAATTCCTGAGCCAGCATGGCTCAGCTTGGAAACCTCTCCCTTTCCTCTCAGCATGGCTGGCTCAGGAATTCTGGGAGTTGAAGTCCACGAGTCATGAAAGAGCCAAGGTTGCCTACCCCTGGTATAGGGTTTCCTGCCTGAGCAGGGGGTTGGACTAGATGACCTCCAAGATCCCTTCCAACTTTACTACTACTACTACTACTATTACTATTATTATTAAAATAAAATAATAAATAAGATAAAATTAAATTAAAAAATATAAAATAAAATAATAAAAATAAATAAAAAAGGATAAAATAAAATTAAAAAATGAATAAAATAGGATAAAATAAAATAATGAATAAAATAAGGTAAAATAAAATAAATAAAATAAAAACGTAAAATAAAATGATAAAAATAAATAAAATAGGATAAAATAAAACATATATATATATATATATATAAAATAAAATATAAAGGAAACCCTTCCTTTCAGGGTCCACATCTGTGACAAACGGCAAAGACAAGCCTTTAATGCCACCCCAACACACTTTGCAAGTCCAGGTCCAGGTTGGAAAAGGCACTCTGCCCATGCTCAGGAGACCTCTGGTTCAGGGGTCAGCTTCTTCACACCAACTTTCTCCCCCGCCCCCAGGGCAGGGACGTGGCTTTGGGAACTGACCCCCAAAGTGGGGTACCTTCAAAGGAAGCCCCCCCTCCCCTCAGAGGACCCCCCACTGAGGAAAAAAAGGCAAGGGAGGCCAGCCTGCCCCCCCCCGCCCTCAGCCCCCCTCTGCCACGGATGCTGACCGCCCATCCCAGCCCTGTTTCTCACCTGACCTGCGGGGGAAGAAGAGGAAGGGACCCCAGGCCCGACCCGCGAATAAACCCGGATTCAGACGACGGGCGGAAAAGCGCCCCCTCCTCACTCCTCGCTGCCCCCCCCACACCTTCCCGGCTGCTCGGCTACGCCCCCTTTCTCTCGGCCCGCCCACGGAGGCAGGGCGGCCCAGCGAGCGCCAGGAGGAAGTCTGGCCACGCCCCTTTCCCCTCCCGTCTCTCTCTTTGCCCGCCCCACCTCCCGGCCACATTGAACGTCTGCGCGCGCAGGCGCAGGCTCTTCCCAAAGGTAAAGTGGAACCTCTGGCGGGGCTTTTCCGAGCGGAGGCGGGGCGCTTGCTCCGGAGGCGGAGATGGAGGCGGGGCTACGCTGTTTGGGGGGAAAAAAAAGCCGGCTGCTTTTGCGCATGAGCGTTTCAAAGCTGGAGTGTCCACTGTAAGACCTATGAACTTCAGCTCCCAGAATTCTAGGAAGCGAAGTCTACGGGTTTTAACCTGGCCATTCTATTCTATTCTATTCTATTCTATTCTATATTCCAATATCTATTCTATTCTATTCTATTCTATTCTATTCTATATTCCAATATCTATTCTGTTCTATTCTATTCTATTCTATTCTATTCTATTTTCATTTCCATATTCTATTCTATTCTATTCTATACTATTCTATTCTATTCTATTCTATATTGCAATATCTATTCTATTCTATATTGCAATATCTATTCTATATTCCAATATCTATTCTATTCTATTCTATTCTATTCTATATTCCAATATCTATTCTATTCTATTCTATTCTATTCTATTCTATTCTATATTCCAATATCTATTCTATTCTATTCTATTCTATTCTATTCTATTCTATTCTATTCTATTCTATATTCCAATATATATTCTATTCTATTCTATATTCTAATATCTATTCTATTCTATTCTATTCTATATTCCAATATCTATTCTATTCTATTCTATTCTATTCTATATTCCAATATCTATTCTATTCTATTCTATTCTATTACATCACCCCCAGATTTGAGGAAAGTTGAAATTTATCACTTTATTTCTGATCAGAAGCAAAGAGGGACTCCTCCCCACTTCCACCAGAATGGCAGGACAGCTGGAAAAGAGGAGCTGACAGGGGTCTCTGTTAGCAAACAAAGGATCAATCTATCATCTCAGGTTGGGTCAATGTTTTAGGTTGGATTTGATGAAAAACTGCCATCTCAGTGGCAAACACTATTCCAAGTCTCTTAATTCCCATTCACTATTTTAGAATTGCTACTTGAAAAAGTGTGGTCAACAGATTTACTGAGCTCAGCCTGGTCATCTCCTACAATATGCCTGGAGGGAACTGAGGCTAAAACATACGTATGAAGAACAGTTGCAAATTGAGCAGGTCTAGTCTAATGAAGAGAAGGAGTAGGGGTGACATGACAGCAGTCTTTCAATATCAGTGGGAGGGTCACGTAGAAGAGGAGGTCAACCTATTCTCCAAAGGCAGGACAAGGAGCAAGAGATGGAAACTAATGAAGAAGAGAACCGATATATACAAAAGGAGAAATTTCCTGACAGTGAGAACAATTAACCAGTGGAACAACTTGCCTCCAGAAGTTGTGGGCGCTCCATCCCTGGAGGCTTTTAAGAAGAGACTAGACTACCCATTTGTCTGAAATGGTATAGGGCAGTGATGGCGAACCTTTTAGAGACCGAGTGCCCAAACTGCAACCCAAAACTCACTTGTTTATCGCTGGGTGCCAGGTGGCCCACTGAGTGGACGTGGCTGTGGTGGTCATGGCAGACTGGGTGCGTGTGGCCAAGGTGGGCGTGATCACCTCGAAGTTGCTCCTGGGGAGGGATGCCTGTGGGGGCTGGACAGGGTTGGGGGAGATCCAGGCGAGGCAGGGGCCAGGGCAACTGCCGCCTGACACCATCGGTCACCGCACAAAGATACCAGCGAGCGCATGGGTGCTGGGATGCATTCGGCCATGTGGGACTTCGGCGAGTTAGCGGGTGGCTGGTTGAAGAGGGACGGTTGCCAGGGCATGGCACATGTGCCCACAGAGAGGGTTCTGAGTGCCGCCTCTGGCACGCGTGCCATAGGTTTGGCACCACTGGTATAGGGTCTCTTGCTTGAGCAGGGGGCTGGACTAGATGCAGAATGGGATAACTGAGCCTAGCCAGTTTGGCACAGTGAGCTCGCCACCACCAAGTTGACTCTGCCAACTCACCATCAATAAATCATCACAGGATAACTCAGGGATCTTCAAACTTGATCCTTTTATGACTTGTGGACGTCAACTCCCAGAATTCCTCAGCCAGCATGTCTGGCTGAGGAATTCTGGGAGTTGAAGTCCACAAGCTGGGGTCTTCAAACTTGGCCCTTTTATGACTTGTGGACGTCAACTCCCAGAATTCCTCAGCCAGTATGTCTGGCTGAGGAATTCTGGGAGTTGACGTCCACAAGCAGGGGTCTTCAAACTTGGCCTTTTTATGACTTGTGGACGTCAACTCAGCCAGCGTGCCTGGCTGAGGAATTCTCGGAGTTGAAGTCCACAAGCTGGGGTCTTCAAACTTGGCCCTTTTATGACTTGTGGATTTCAGCTCTCAGAATTCCTCAGCCAGCATGCCTGGCTGAGGAATTCTGGGAGTTGACGTCCACAAGCAGGGGTCTTCAAACTTGGCCTTTTTATGACTTGTGGACGTCAACTCAGCAAGCGTGCCTGGCTGAGGAATTCTGGGAGCTGAAATCCACAAGTCATAAAAGGGCCACGTTTGAAGATCCCTAGAATAACTGCACACCTCCAACTTTCCCCAGGGACAATTCACTGCGGGCAGCCAGAAGGAGAACTGGGTGGGTGAACGATGGGCAGAGCACAGAGGGTAGCCAGGGACTTCCCAAAAGGAGGGAGAGCTGAGTGAACGCAGAGTGGCAGCCATGTTGAGTTGTCCTACACGTCTTGGTGGGGGTGAGTTGACAGAGGCAACTTGGTGGTGGCAAGCTGGTCACGCCGAGCCGGCCACACTGAGTCGTCCCATTCCCATTAAAGCATTCCCAGTTGGAATGTTAGATGTGTTTGCCCACCTGAGTTATTTATAAAAATAATAAAGGTGGGATATAAATAAAAAAATATGAACCATCTATAGCAGTGTTTCCCAAACTTGACAATTTTAAGGCATGTGGACTTCAAGTCCCAGAATTCCACAGCCAGCATTGCTGGCTGTGGAATTTTGGGAGTTGAAGTCCACATGCCTTAAAATTGTCAAGTTTGGGAAACATTGATCTATAGGAAGGCAGTCTGGATTATTTAGTTTCGCCATCCGTTTTATTTATGAGAGAAGTTGTTTTCCCACCCAACCTTGTACTCATCTGGTTCCTTTAAATGAGCCGGTTGGTGTTCATTCTTAAACTGCCAAGTGTATTGATCTTAAAGGAAAAATCTCCCATGGGATATTCTGCTTTGTGTCTCATTTAGTAACTTCTTCCTTCATACTAGGATCACAGCAAGATCAGTCAATAATTTTGTTTTTCTGGCTGCCTCAATTTACTTGAGTAAACTCTTAAGGATCAAAAAAAAAACAAAGGGCAATTTTTTTTTCCAAAACAAAATCTAAAATATTTAGTAATATATCCAAGGTGAATATACACCAATAAAACCAGAATAAACCTTAAATTACTACAAGAAACAAGAAGTTGCTTTTCCCCTTGCTGATATGAACACACTTAAATAGTTCATTTGGGTCGAAAATGTTATTCTAGAGCAGTGGTTCTCAACCTGTGGGTCGGGACCCCATTTGGGGTCGAACGACCATTTCACGGGGGTCGCCAAACAACGCAGTCCACCATTTTTTTCCCCCTTTTCCTTAGCTGTGCTACTCCCTTTTATTCTATTGGCTTTTGAAAGCCAATAGAATAGACTCTCTTGAATAGAGTCTAATTCTATTGGCTTTCAAAAGCCAATAGGAATTGTCCAGGCTGTCTCTGCCCTGCTGAGCCCGCCAAAAGTCCCATTCTGCAAACGATGCTGCACCAGTTGAGTAGTCCTCGACTTCCGACCGGTTGGGGGTCGCGACATTAAAAAGGTTGAGAACCACTGTTCTAGAACTTTCTGTGCAAACGTAGCATTTAGTGTCCTTTGAAAGGCTCCTGAATGGCTTACGCTGCATTTGGATATTGATATTTGTACCCCTCAGAAATTAAATTGACGGCTAGTTGAGAGGCGGTCCCTGCTGTGTTTTCAAACAATGGATTTGGATATGTGAGATCTGAAGAACCGGAAGCAGCAACTGGAAAGCGTCTTGAATATATCCGGTGCTGTTGCAACCCTAACGAGAGAAAGAAATATATAGATATTATTAGCAAAGCGTAGCGTGTTTTGTGAGCTCTTACACAGAAGTCAGGGGATCAATAAAGCTAGCATCACAAATGATCACACTTGCTGAAAACACAACCTTACTTTCCAAGATGGAAACTGTAAGTGGTGTGTACAGGTAGTTGCTGACTTACAATCTTTTGTTTAGTGATTGTTCAAAGTTACAATAGCACTGAAAAAAGTAACTTACGACCGTTTTTCTGGGAGTTGAACTCCACAAATCTTGAAGTTGCCAAGTTTGGACACCTCTGTGTTCGATGAGTGAAAACCACAATACTTGCCAGAGAATCCTTACAAGTCAGTTTAGTTTTTACCCTTTTTCACCCTTACAACTGTCGCACTGTCCCCCTGGTCACGTGATCAAAATTCAGACTCTTGACAACAAACATGTATTTTTGACCTCTGCAGTGTCCCTTTCTGCGACCTTCTGAGAGCAAAGTCAACGGAGGGGGGGAGCCAGAGTCACTTAACAACCGGGTTACTATTTGGACAGCTGCAGTGATTCGTTTAAATGATTATTATATTTCATTTCTAGTTATCGGCTATGGAAACCCCCATTTCTGCCCTCTCTGGATTCTGTCATACTACGAAGGGGAAGGGGGATGAGCAAAAGAGTTTTATGGCTCTCACTTCCTTCATTAAAACTTCAAAGGGACTGAATGTGGATCTCACCAAGAGGACTGACCATAACAATATGGCCATCACCTTTCATCTACTCCTCTCTGAAGTCTCCCTTCTGCCGGACGTGAGGAAAAGGGGGTGGAAATGTAACGCCTAGGATTGTCGCTGGAAGGACGGTGGGGTGGGGGCTGCTTGGGGACACTTAAAACCTTGAATGGTAGGGGTTGGCCCCTCAGATCCTGTCTCGAACGCCTGCAACCATCTTCTCTTAATATATTAAGATGCCTGTTGGAAGAGATATTCCAAGAGTTCTGTCTTCTTAAGATGTAAAGTGGGGTGGGTCTTTACAGAGAGCACTGTTCCAATATTTGAGGGGCTGCTACAAAGAAGAGGGGGATCAACTTATTTTCCAAAGCACCAAAAGGCAAGACGAGAAATGGCGGGTGGAAACTAACCAAGGAGAGAAGCAACCTGGAACTAAGGAGGAATTTTCTAATGATGAGAACAATTAATCAGTGGAACAGCTTGCCTCCAGAAGTTGTCGGCGCTCCCTCACTGGAGGCTTTCAAAAACAGAGTGGACAACCATTTATCTGAAACGATATAAGGTCTCCTGCTTGAGTACGGGGTTGGACTAGAAGACCTCCAATGTCCCTTCCAACTCTATTATTCTATGTTCTATTCTATACAATTGAATGAAATTGAGGCGTCACGATGATAATACTAATCAGAATAGAGCTGGAAAAGGGACCTTGGAGGTCTTCTAGTCCCACCCCTTGCTCTCACAGGAAACTTATACTATTTCTGATAAATGGCTATCCAGTCTTTCCTTAAAAACCTCCAGTGATGGAGCATCCACAACTTCTGGAGGCAGGTAGTTCCACGGGTTAATTGTTCTCACTGATAGGAAGTTTCTCCTTAATTCCAGGTTGCTTCTCTCCTTGATTAGTTTCCATCCTTGTTTCTTGTCTTGCTTTGTGGTGCTATTACCACAAGGCAGATAAGAAGCTGACAGATCAGAAACGGTGCATTTTGGATATTATAGTTCGTTAGAAAGTGAGATAAGGTAAATCTTGGTTACCCAAAGTCTGAAAATTATGGATATCAAAGGTTTAAATTGGAATATTGATGAGAAATTAAAAATTATGTAAAACTTAATAACAAGATATGGATTATTTATGAAGACTGAATGTAATTAAGATAAATACAAGCTAAAAATTTATTGATAAATGTAATAATGACGTTTTTGTTGAGTTGATATAATTAGAAATGTACTGGCTTGAATACGAGACAGTAAATGTTAAGGGGAAAAAGAGAAAAAATATCTGATGTTGTAACCTGAGATTTGCACTAAAGATTTTGTTATTGAACTATTGATTAACCCAGTCACCACGTTGCTTTTTAAATCCTCAAATATAAAATTGGAAAATTAATAAAATATTATATAAAAAAAGAAAGAAACTGGCAGTCTTATGTAAAGTAAATATTGGCCTTACTTACCTCTGACAGCACACTATTAACCATTGGGTTAAGGATTTCAGCTTTTTTGTCGCTCTGTTTAAAGGAAAGCACGGAGAAAGTTACGAATGCTCTTCGCAGCAGCAGCGAGAAAACATCACCAATATGAAATTCTTCTGATCAATGGAAAATATTGATTTACTCTTACATGGAAACACGCTTTGCGTTCATTTACCAGCTATCCAAGGTAACTTTTCATTAACCCTGATAATCTGACAGAATTTGAGCTAACGCACCGATTTTAAAACTAAAAAGTAGTTAGAAATTTTTCCGAAGAACTGGAGTCTAGTAAGTGTGGACAGTTTAATTGCATATGGGAATTAAAAAAAAAAAAACCCACACACTTCCAACTCACAGAGTGAAATAGTCACTGCCAATGAACAGTGTCAGGGTTAGTGGGAGTTTCCTTGCCAGAAACGAAGCGAAGAACCCAAAACACCCAGATAAGCAGAAATTAATAAGATTAATACCACACCAACAATCAAGATGTAAACAATGTTCCAATCAAGGAAGTACTAACTAGACCACAGGTCGGCAACCTGCGGCTCCGGAGCCGCATGCGGCTCTTTGAGCCTTCCCCTGTGGCTCCCAGCCTCCTCTGCCTTTGCAGAGAGAGACAGAGACAGAGAGAGGAAATTGCGCTTCCCTGCTTCCTTCTCTCTCTCTCTCTCTCTCTCTGTGTGTGTGTGTCTAGGTGTGTGTGTGTGTGTGTGTTTTGTGTGTGTGTGTGTGTGTGTTTTGTGTGTTTGTGTGTATGTGTAAAAGAGAGTGCACTCACAGTGTTCTCCGAGGAGCTGAAAAGCTTACTGGGCGGAGCTCCTCCCTTTGCTGCGTCTCTGCAGGAAGCAGGAAGGGCAGGAGAGAGCTAGCTAGCCCAGCTAGGCTGACTCAGGAATTCTGGGAGTTGAAGTCCATGAGTCATAAAAGAGACGAGGTTGCCTACCCCGGAGGTTGTTGGACAACAGCTTGAAGCTTGCCAGGTGAGCAGCAGATAGGAGGGGGGGGGAGAAAGAGAGAGAGAGGGAGAGAGAGAGAGTGGGGGAAGAGGAGTGGCAGACCAAGGGCAGATAGAGAGGGAGGGAGAGAGAGACCCTTTTGACATCTAAAATGAAGATAGCACTGCATATATCCTTTTTTTACCTGTGTGTGTATGTAATTTTATTCTCTTAAAGCATTCTCTTGGTGATCATTGTTTTAATAGTATGGGTATTCCCAAGAGTCATATTTTTACTTTTATTTTTAATGTGTATATGTGTGTGTGTGTGTGTGTGTGTGTGTGTGTGTGTATACACATACACACACACACACATACACATACACACACCTATAATAAAGGTAAAAAAGGATATATGCAGTGTTATCTTCATTTTAGATATCAAAAGGGTTTTGCGGCTCCCAGTGTTTTGTTTTTGGTGGGAAACGGGTCCAAGTGGCTCTTTGAGTGTTTTGGGTTGCCTACCCCTGAACTAGACAAACAAGCTAACAGTGAACAACAGCCTAATCAAGGGACTGTCCAGACCATTCCCACCAACACTGTCAGGGCAAGCCACCAGTGCAGGGGTCTTCAAACTTGGCCCTTTGATGACTTGTGGGCTTCAACTCCCAGAATTCCTCAGCCAGTGTGCCTGGCTGGGGAATTCTGGGAGTTGAAGTCCACAAGTCATCAAAGGGCCACGTTTGAAGATCCCTGCACTAGTATATAAGCAGCAAACACACACCCCATTCCCTTCTACATTGATGATGTTCCCTAGTTGGGCCATGAAACATCTGCTAGGAAACCAGTTCATCTGAGAGCCTCAGAGAGCACCAAGGACCCCACAGAATATACGTGATTTTGATGTGTCTGTTCATTTCATTAAAATCCATACAATGAATTGCAAACGGCCAAGCAAACTGACATCACGTCATACATATCACACAGTGCACCCACTGCTTTTCCGGAAAGTTCATAATATCTGCCATTCTATATAGACTTTCTCCCTTTATTTGCAGAGATGGACCACTTCTGACTAGAGAGGGTGACAAAGTCCTGTGAAGCAGCATACAAGTCTAAGTGCTATTGCTATTCATTCGTTCCTTACCCCTCCCTGCTTCCTTCCTTCCTTCCTTTCTTTCTCTCTTCCTTCCTCCCACCCCTCTTTTTCCTTCCTTCCTTCCTTCCTTCCTTCCTTCCTTCCTTCCTTCCTTCCTTCCTTCTTTCCTTCCTTCCTTCCGCCATGGTGGCACAGTGGTCAGAATGCAGTACTGCAGGCTAATCCTGCTGACTGCCAGCTGCTAGCAATTCGGCAGTTCGATTCTCACCAGCTCAACTTTGACTCAGCTTCCCATCCTTCCCAGGTCTGTAAAATGAGGACCCAGATTGCCTAAGTGGAATTTTCCTCCAATGGGATTTTCCCATGTATTTTGCCAGGAAACATAGATAGGGCAGCCTAGAAAGGTCAGTGCCCCCCTAACCATACCCAAGCACTCCGAATTTGTTGGCGATGTCCATTTTGCTCTATGAGTTCATGGTGACCTAACCCTAACCCTAAGTGGAATTTTCCTCCAATGGGATTTTCCCATGTATTTTACCAGGAAACATAGATAGGGCAGTTTAGAAAAGTCAGTGCCCCCCTAACCATACCCAAGCACTCCGAATTTGTTGGCGGTGTCCATTTTGTTCTATGAGTTCATGGTGACCTAGCCCTAACCCTAAGTGGAATTTTCCTCCAATGGGATTTTCCCATGTATTTTACGAGGAAACATAGATAGGGCAGCCTAGAAAAGTAAGTGCCCCCCTAACCATACCAAAGCACTCCGAATTTGTTGGCGATGTCCATTTTGCTCTACGAGTTCATGGTGACCTAACCCTAATCCTAAATGGTATTATCCTCCAATGGGATTTTCCCATGTATTTTACCAGGAAACATAGATAGGGCAGCTTAGAAAAGTCAGTGCCCCCCTAACCATACCCAAGCACGCCGAATTTGTTGGCGATGTCCATTTTGCTCTACGAGTTCATGGTGACCTAACCCTAACCCTAAGTGGAATTTTCCTCTAATGGGATTTTCCCATGTATTTTACTAGGAAACATAGATAGGGCAGCCTAGAAAAGTAAGTGCCCCCCTAACCATACCAAAGCACTCCGAATTTGTTGGCGATGTCCATTTTGCTCTATGAGTTCATGCTGACCTAACCCTAATCCTAAGTGGAATTTTCCTCCAATGGGATTTTCCCATCTATTTTACTAGGAAACATAGATAGGGCAGCCTAGAAAAGTAAGTGCCCCCCCCCTAACCATACCAAAGCACTCCGAATTTGTTGGCGATGTCCATTTTGCTCTATGAGTTCATGGTGACCTAACCCTAACCCTAAGTGGAATTTTCCTCCAATGGGATTTTCCCATGTATTTTACCAGGAAACATAGATAGGGCAGCCTAGAAAAGTAAGTGCCCCCCTAACCATACCAAAGCACTCCGAATTTGTTGGCGATGTCCATTTTGCTCTATGAGTTCATGGTGACCTAACCCTAATCCTAAGTGGTATTATCCTCCAATGGGATTTTCCCATGTATTTTACCAGGAAATATAGATAGGGCAGCTTAGAAAAGTAAGTGCCCCCCTAACCATACCCAAGCACTCCGAATTTGTTGGCGATGTCCATTTTGCTCTACGAGTTCATGGTGACCTAACCCTAACCCTAAGTGGAATTTTCCTCCAATGGGATTTTCCCATCTATTTTACTAGGAAACATAGATAGGGCAGCCTAGAAAAGTAAGTGCCCCCCCCCCTAACCATACCAAAGCACTCCGAATTTGTTGGCGATGTCCATTTTGCTCTATGAGTTCATGGTGACCTAACCCTAACCCTAAGTGGAATTTTCCTCCAATGGGATTTTCCCATGTATTTTACCAGGAAACATAGATAGGGCAGTTTAGAAAAGTCAGTGCCCCCCTAACCATACCCAAGCACTCCGAATTTGTTGGCGGTGTCCATTTTGTTCTATGAGTTCATGGTGACCTAGCCCTAACCCTAAGTGGAATTTTCCTCCAATGGGATTTTCCCATGTATTTTACGAGGAAACATAGATAGGGCAGCCTAGAAAAGTAAGTGCCCCCCTAACCATACCAAAGCACTCCGAATTTGTTGGCGATGTCCATTTTGCTCTACGAGTTCATGGTGACCTAACCCTAATCCTAAATGGTATTATCCTCCAATGGGATTTTCCCATGTATTTTACCAGGAAACATAGATAGGGCAGCTTAGAAAAGTCAGTGCCCCCCTAACCATACCCAAGCACGCCGAATTTGTTGGCGATGTCCATTTTGCTCTACGAGTTCATGGTGACCTAACCCTAACCCTAAGTGGAATTTTCCTCCAATGGGATTTTCCCATGTATTTTACTAGGAAACATAGATAGGGCAGCCTAGAAAAGTAAGTGCCCCCCTAACCATACCAAAGCACTCCGAATTTGTTGGCGATGTCCATTTTGTTCTATGAGTTCATGGTGACCTAACCCTAATCCTAAGTGGTATTTTCCTCCTATGGGATTTTCCCATGTATTTTACCAGGAAACATAGATAGGGCAGCCTAGAAAAGTCAGTGCCCCCCTAACCATACCAAAGCACTCCGAATTTGTTGGCGATGTCCATTTTGCTCTATGAGTTCATAGTGACCTAACCCTAATCCTAAGTGGTATTATCCTCCAATGGGATTTTCCCATGTATTTCCCCAGGAAACATAGATAGGGCAGCCTAGAAAAGTCAGTGCCCCCCTAACCATACCCAAGCACTCCGAATTTGTTGGCGATGTCCATTTTGCTCTATGAGTTCATGGTGACCTAACCCTAATCCTAAGTGGTATTATCCTCCAATGGGATTTTCCCATGTATTTTACCAGGAAATATAGATAGGGCAGCTTAGAAAAGTAAGTGCCCCCCTAACCATACCCAAGCACTCCGAATTTGTTGGCGATGTCCATTTTGCTCTACGAGTTCATGGTGACCTAACCCTAACCCTAAGTGGAATTTTCCTCCAATGGGATTTTCCCATGTATTTTACCAGGAAAGATAGACAGGGCAGGCTAGAAAAGTCAATGCCTTTCTAACCATACCCAAACACTCCAAATTTGTTGGCGATGTCCATTTTGCTCTCCAAGTTCATGGTGACGTAACCCTAACCCTATATGTGTATTAGATGCTGATTATAGATACCATTTAAATGTCCCTATTTGTTCACTCATTCTCTCACTTAGTTAGAGAATAACACATGAAGTAATAAATAAATGAAATTGTGTAATAACTTACCGCCACCAAAGTCAAAACATCAGAGAATTGTTTTGATAGGGATGACACTTCGTTACACATCGTATTCGTTAAACTGTTGAAAACATAATGGAAATAGAGTATTTATCCATCCTGATCAGCATATTCTTGAATATTTCAAGAGGAATTCTGGGCGTTGAAGTCCACAAGTCTTAAAGTTGCCAAGTTTGAAGACCCCTGTTATAAAGCCTCACCACTAGGCGAAACGTGTGTGACCATATGACACTGCACCCCCAAGGAAAATGAAAATATTATGATGAATGAATGAATGGATGAATGGATGGATGGATGGATGGATGGATGAACGAGCAGTAGCCCTTGAACAGAAAGAACAGCAAATGAAAATATATTCACTTTGTTAGACCTCGAGCTTGATCCAAGGCAGGCTTTTCAATTTCTTGTCCATGGAGAATTAATTCTGCTAATTTATGAAGTTGTTCAATGCAACGGGCTGTTACTTCGGCCAGGCTTTCAATGGACAACATGTAGAGTTCCTAGAAAGCAGGACATTTTTACTGATTAGCACAGATGCTGAGCACATTCCAAGGCAGTAAATTTTACTAATTAGCACAGATGCTACATGTTGTACCCTGTAGGAGAGAAATATCCAGAAAATATCATTAGTTACAGAGGTTAAAATAAGCAGAACCCTGGTTCCTTGTAATAGGAAGTATTTGACTTTGTCGGTAACAAGAGAAAATTCTGTTCCTATTATTACTAAATCACTGGCTTCAACTATTTATATTCTAAGCCTAACCTATTAAATGAAAACTTCAGAAGTCAGATTTAGATGGCTTTGGATGAGGAACTCAGAGGTTTTCCACTGATGGAATCGCTAGTTGATAACATTACAAAGTATTATACCCCCAATGCAAAACATGAGCAATGGATTTTATTAGATCTTGATACTGAAAAATAAAGTTTGAAAAGTTTCCAAGGCATTATAGGACCAGGAAATAAGAGTTAAAAGCCTGGTGGGCTGGTAGACATTTTTGATATGACGAACAGAATTTCATGGGGTGCAAAAAAAAAAAAAAAAAAAAAGGACCTCAAACATTCCGTTTTTCATGGTATCTGAAGAGGGCATCAAAAATCAAGATGGTGTCCATGACCATGGGATCAACCTGGTTTTTCTAAATATATTGTGATGCTTGTTACAAAAGAGGGAGCACATGGATACCATCTTGATTTTTTTGACATTCTCTTTTAATGTCGTGAAGGTGGATATTTTGATATCCCTTTCTCCTCCCCAATTCCTGAAACTTAGACTGCCATATCAAAAATAAAAGAGGGAGTTCCTTATTATTTCCAGTGGAAAACAAATAAAAGCTGTACCGTAGGCTTGTGAAATAATATCAGAGTTTGGAAAACCAAGAAGATCGTCAGTGGAAAACCTTGGCCCTATCATAATCTGGTACAGTCTGTCCTTAATACCTCTCTTTACCAGAGTCCTCAATTTCTCTAAGCCAGGGGTGGGATATCTCCTTTCTCCTCCCCAACTCCTGAAACTTAGACTGCCATATCAGGGAGTCCAGTGGAAAACAAATAAAAGCTGTTAGGCTCAGAGTTTGAAGATCGTCAGTGGAAAACCTTGGCCCTATCCTGGTACAGGCTTTACCAGAGTCCTCAATTTCTCTAAGCCAGGGGTGGGCAATCTTGGCTCTTTTATGACTCATGGACTTCAACTCCCAGAATTCCTGAGCCAGCCTGGCTCAGCTTGGAAACCTCTCCCTTTCCCCTCAGCGTGGCTGGCTCAGGAATTCTGGGAGTTGAAGTCCACGAGTCATAAGAGAGCCAAGGTTGCCTACCCCTGCTCTAAACTAATAAAGTCTACATTAATTAACATTAATTATGCTTTCATATGTTCCTCTAGGTCAGGGGAGGCAACCTTGGCTCTTTTATGACTCGTGGACTTCAACTCCCAGAATTCCTGAGCCAGCACGAGTCCACGAGTCATAAAAGGGCCAAGGTTGCCTACCCCTGTCCTACACCATGCTCAATTGACAGTAGTCAAAGAAAGACCTGGTCACCACTTACCTCTACAGTTTTGGTTCTTTTTGTTTCTGTCTTTTCAGATTCTCCCACCTGAGATTTTTCTTCGGTGACTTGCATTTCTACAATTTCTTCATCCACTTCTTTAGTTTGGCCTGGTGGGTTCTCTTCCAGGTCTCCATATGTGGAGAGACTTGCTGCTTCTAAGGCCTTCTTTCTGGCCTGCAACATAAGGGTTGGAAACTGATCAAGGAGAGAAGCAACCTGGATTTAAGGAGAAAATTCCTGACAGTGAGGACAATCAACCGGTGGAACAGCTTCAGAAATCGTGGGCGCCCCATCACTGGAGATCTTTAAGAAAAAAATAGACATTCACCGGTCTGAGATGGTGTAGGTTCTCCTGCTTAAGCGGGGGGGGGGGCTGGACTAGAAGACCTCCAAGGTCCCTTCCAGCTCTACTCTCTATATATCCACCATCAAAAATGGCAGAGAGTTATTATTGTAGTGTGGAAATGCACCACTTCAGAATGGCACATGTGGATTCCAACATAAAGCCACTCTTAATTTCCTGGCAGAAAATACCGCCGAGTCACATATAAGATGGTTGGCTACATTCATTGATTCATTGGTTCTGTCATAGTTCTGACAGATGAAACTCTTCAAAGAACTTCAAGGCATTGTTTATCTTAAAGAATCTTTATCCAAGAAGCATAGCATCGGCACTAACATAATTGAAGCCAAACACTGAATTCCCCTCCCCTGAGCACATAGTATCAAAACACAATTCCCTCCTCCAATTAACAGTCATAAATCACATTCCCGAATTAGCTTGAAACGTGGGCTTCCCCTCCAGCTCTTCAGCCGCCAATTCTTTATCATCTCTTCTTTCAACAACCTTGGTTCTCACACTAGGTCCAGTGTGAATCTAGCTAGATTCCCGTGCATCATCTAACTCTAAAAGCAAAAAGAAGAAAATGGCTGCATCTCCATCTGTGGTCAATGCAAAAACATCCGATGTTAGCAGCGTTGACAGGTTCATGATCTCAACCACCCAATCACCCAGCCGACAACTCAACCGCTCAACCACCCATCCAAGGCACTGTATTTCCAAGCCATTACACCATTGCGTTGGCAGAATTTCTAATGGACTATCATCCCCGTACAGATTTGCCTTCCTAATCTTGCCATTTGTCATCACTCCTTTGGCTCTGCCTAATTTGGAACATAAACGTCCGGCTTTTATATTCCAAAATTATAGGCCGAATTATTCCACGGACTTTTGGCGCATCAGAATTGGCCTCTGACAACATGGTGAAGAACAGTTCCTCTTCCTGGTTTCCTGTGATTTCCTGGCTCTGAAGAATTTACAGAGGCATTTCCGTCTCTGTCTCTTTCTCCTATGTGTTCAGAGTTGCTATTTTACCCAAAGTAGTAAGGATACTGATGCTGCCTCCTCTTGCCCCATTTCTTGATTTTTTAAAAAATTAATGTGCTATGAAGGATCGTTGCCCTGAGCTAGCCAATAAGCCATATCTTCAAAAAAAAAAAAATACAATAAACAGCATTCCCCACCTTGTTAAGTTTGTCAGGCGTAGCAGCGACGTGTAGTTCAAATAGCAATTCTGTTAGCGTGGTAATGAACACATCTCCTGCATCTGCGGCAATAATCAAGGCAAAAGCGTTAAACTCAGAGAAAAAAACATTCTTTTTCTTCCTAAGGGAAGGGATTCTAATTAGGCATCATTTTTTTTCTCTCTCTCCTTCTTCCTCGCTCATACGTTAGCAAACAAATAGCATTTCTGTCCTGTATCCATTTTTCTTTCTTTTTTCTTTTTTTCTACTTCTGACTTAGAAGCAATTTTACTCTTTCCCACAAGGACAAATAAGAACAGTGAACCAGTGGAATGGAAATTGTGGGTGCTTTATCACTGGAAGCTTTTAAAAGAAGAGACTGGGCAGCCATTTGCCAGAAATGGTGTAGGGTCTCCTGCTTGGGTGGGGGGTTGGACTAGATGACCTCCAAGGTCCCTTCCAACTGTATTATATTCACTAATCAGTGGAATTACCTGCCTCCATGAGTTGTGGGTGCTCCATCACTGGAGGGTTTTAAGAAGAGATTGGACAGTCACTTGTCTGAAATGGGGTAGGGCAGGGATAGGCAACCATGGCTCTTTTATGACTCGTGGACTTCAACTCCCAGAATTCCTTAGGCAGCCATGCTGAGGGAAAAGGGAGAGGTTTCCAAGCTGAGCCATGCTGGCTCAGGAATTCTGGGAGTTGAAGTCCACGAGTCATAAAAGAGCCAAGGTTGCCTACCCTTGGTGTAGGGTCTCCTGCTTGAGCAGCAGGGGTGGATGGACTAGAAGACCTTCAAGGTCCCTTCCAATTCTGTTATTCTGTATTCCAATTTACTGGGCACTGTTCTCCTCTGTGTCCTAACTGAACAGGATCACTTATAATTTCCGATTTTACTTTCCACCTTGGAGGGGGTGTTCGATTCCGTTGCATGCGGAAAGAAAATTAAAATACATCTTTCTCACTCAGCAAGTAAGCTAAGGCTAGCTTATGCTGATGTTTCATTTCCTAATGAGAAGAAAACTTAACAAATAAAAAGCATCCACTAATTTTACGACATTGAGAAGGAGAAACACAGAAAGCACTAGGAAAGCACTATTAAATTTTAAAAAGTAGTATTTTCAATAGAAAGTGCTTCAGCAGAATTATTTTTGGGATCCAACTGCTAGTATCTTACACAGCATATGCTCCATAGTAGGGGGTCTTCAAACCTGGCTCTTTTATGACTTGAGGACTTCAACTCCCAGAATTCCTCACCTGGCTGAGGAATTCTGGGAGTTGAAATCCACAAGTCATAAAAGGGCCAAGTTTGAAGACCCCTGTCTTAAATCTAACAAACAAAATGGAGGCTGGCTGAGGAATTCTGGGAGTTGAAGTCCACAAGTCATAAAAGGGCCAAGTTTGAAGACCCCTGCTCTATAGTTTCGAATCAATAAGTAGATCCTTTAATACAGAGGTGGGGAACTATGGCCTTTTAAGGCTTGTGGACTTCAACTCCCAGAATTCCTGAGCCAGCTGGCTCAGGGATTCTGGGAGTTGGAGTCCACAAGTCATATAAGGGCCATAGTTCCCCACCCTTGCTTTAATAAGTCATTTGACAACTACCTTTTTTTATTTCTTGGTCTTGATTTTCTGTGTCTTGAGAAAGGAAGACTGCCTTAATAGCAATTAACACATTTTTGGCTGCTTCTAGTTCCTCTCCTTCAAGAGATGCCAAATATGATTGTACCTGGAAAAAAAAATTACAATACCAGATATTATATTTTGGGCAGACTATTTCATCATAGTTGTGGTATAGCATGTTTGGGGGGGGGGAATAGGAGGTCTGTTTGCATTAGATTTATAATAAGCACTGATGAGGTTCCCTAGTAGGGTCATGAAACGTCTGCAAGAAAATAACCAAGCTCAGAGAGCACCCAGAAACCCTCATTTCAACCCAAAGCTACACATATTCCCTTCTATCAAGAATACGGATTATCAGACTTAGTAACATCTGTTCTGTGCTAAAAGGATATGAGCCTATTTGCAGGGTCCTTGATGCTCTCTGAACTGGGTGGTTTCCTTGCAGATGTTTCATGACCCAACTAGGTAACGTCATCAGTGCTAGAAGAAAGTGAGATTTGCAGAAAGGGGGGGGGAAGAGGAGGAAGAGGAGGAGGAGGAAGAAGAAGAAGACTGTGTGGTCCTTGGTGCTTTCTGAGCTTGGTTGTTTCCTTGCAGATGTTTCATGACCCAACTAGGTAACATCATCAGTGCTAGAAGAAAATGAGATTTGCAGAAAGGAGGAGGAGGAGGAGGAAGAAGAAGAAGAGGAGGAAGAGGAGGAGGAGGAAGACTGTGGGGTCCTTGGTGCTCTCTGAGCTTGGTTGTTTTCTTGTAGATGTTTCATTACCCAACTAGGTAACATCATCAGTGCTAGAAGGGACGGGGGATTGTTCTTATTTTATATTCTAGTGACTTGCTCTGTCAATATTGGAAGGAAGAGAAAGTTCAGAGAAAGTTCCAGGAAGGAAGGAAGGAAGGAAGGAAGGAAGGAAGGAAGGAAGGAAGGAAGGAAGGAAGGAAGGAAGGAAGGGAGAAGAGCAAAAAAAGCAAAATAAGGAGATTCATTTCATAGCAATGATGATGATAAACACTAGAATATAGAAGATAATCCTCAACTTACAACAATTTATTTAGCGACCCATCAAAGCTACAACAGCCCCGAAAGAAGTGACTTGTCATTTTTCACGCTTACGACGGTTTGCAGCATCCCCCAAAACACGTGATCAAAATCCAGATGCTTGGCAACTGGTTCATATTTACGACCGTTGCCGTGTCACGTAACCCCCTTTGACGATGTTCTGACAAGCCAAGTTAGAACGGGGGAAGATGGGTTCCCTTAACGACCGGGTGACGAGCTTATCAACCGCCGCGGGGTTGGTCGTCAAACGGGGCCAAACCCGCTTAACAAACGCCTCCCTTAACGACAGAAATTTGGGGCTGAGCTGTGGCCGTAAATGGAATGGAAGCCATTCTGAGCCTGCAAGTTGCGAAGGGAAACGGCAAAATAATGAAAGGATCGGATAGATCTTAGAACCGGAAGGGATTTTCCTTAGAAAATCTGGCTGGAAAGCATTTTTCGACAAATATCTCCCAATCGCCCTTCTCTTTCTCTCGATTGGTGCACCTCGTGAACCTCACCTTGGCTTCGCTTTCATTGGACAGGATCTCCAAAGCTTCTAGGTGAGACAAACCCTGAAATTCATCGAAAAGCACCCCATAATGTGCCGTGGGCTCCATCGTGACGTGCTGGGCAAGTCTTTGCTTTTCTTTCTCTTTGGCTTCCCGCAGCAGCTGTGGAAATATAGAGTTGGGGGGGGTCTCTGATTAATGGGCTGTGTAACATAAGGGAAATGTAAGATCTGTACACTGGGGCAATGCCTTCACAAATGCCTGGCACAACACAGGAGAACAAACCCACACAGGAGTAGGCAACCTCGGCTCTTTTATGACTCCTGGACTTCCACTCCCAGAATTCCTGAGCTGACTCAGGAATTCTGGGAGTTGAAGTCCAGGAGTCATAAAAGAGCCGAGGTTGCCTACCCCTGCACCAGGGCAAGATTCAGCAGCCCATTTGCATTTGAAAAACCAAGACCGCTCTTTCAAAGACAGCAAAGTCTACGTTTTGGATAGAGAGGACTGCTGGTTTGAAAAAGGGGTCAAAGAGGCCATCTATGCCTGGCTGAGGACTTCTGGGAGTTGAAGTCCACAAGTCATAAAAGGGCCACGTTTGAAGACCCCTGTCTTAAATCTAACAAACAAAATGGAGGCTGGCCGAGGAATTCTGGGAGCTGAAGTCCACGTCATAAAAGGGCCAAGTTTGAAACCCCCTGTCTTAAATCTAACAAACAAAATGGAGGCTGGCCAAGGAACTCTGGGAATTGAAGTCCATAAATCATAAAAGGGCCAAGTTTGAAGACCCCTGTCTTAAATCTAACAAACAAAATGGAGGCTGGCCGAGGAACTCTGGGAATTGAAGTCCATAAATCATAAAAGGGCCAAATTTGAAGACCCCTGTCTTAAATCTAACAAACAAAATGGAGGCTGACTGAGGAATTCTGGGAGCTGAAGTCCACAAGTCATAAAAGAGCCAAGTTTGAAGATTCCTGGTCTAGGATCTCCCACCAGCATCCTGCCCAATCAGGATGAAGTAGTTCCAACTCATCTAGACAGGACTAAATTAGAAAAACCTTGCTAAATCACTGTTTATGATGATAATCACTGTGTGCATGTTTTACCTGAGATAAAGAAACAGTCCGTTCCATCAGAATTTTGGTTTTCTTGAATCCAGGATCACCTTCTGCTAGAACATTCATGGTTTTCTTGCCGATAAACTCCAGAGCATCAAGTCCGCCAGTTAAGACACTTTTACCCTGCATAAAATAGAGCAGAACACTCATGTTGTTTGCCTTGGGTTCTGTTATATTAGGCCAGAGGTCTTCAAACTTGTCCCTTTTATGATTTGTGGACTTCAACTCCCAGAATTCCTCAGCCAGCATGCCTGGCTGAAGAATTCTGGGAGTTGAAGTCCATAAGTCATAAAAGGGGCAAGTTTGAAGACCCCTGTATTAGGCAGTTACAAAGCTAGATAGCACTTATCTTCTCATGAATGCTTTCCCAGTAGCATGAATTCCCATCCATAATTTCTAGTTGTGAATGGCTGGGAATTATGGAAACTTGAGTGGAACATCTTTGGAAAATGCCCTATTTGGGAGACTGGTACAGGAACACTGAATTTGCAATTTATGAACGTATTTTTCTCTCCTTGATTAGTTTCCATCCATTGCTTCTTGTCCTATCTTCAGGTGCTCTGGAGAATAGCTTGACTCCCTCTTCTTTGGGGCAGCCCCTGAGATACTGGAACACTGCTATCATGTCCCCCCTTGTCCTTCTCTTCATTAGACTAGACATCCCCAATTCCAGCAACCGTTCCTTATATGTTTTAGCCTCCAGTCCCCTAATCATCTTCGTTGCTTTTCTCTGCACTCTTTCTAGAATCTCAACATCTTTTTTATATCGTGGTCCAAGTGTGGCCTTACCAAGGCTTTGTAAAGTGGTATTAACACTCCACGTGATCTTGATTCTATCCCTCTGTTAATGCAGCTTAGCACTGTGTTGGCTATTTTGGCAGCTGCAGCACACTGCTGGCTCATATTTAGGTGATTGTCTACTAGGACTCCGAGGTCCCTCTCACAGTTACTACTATTGAGCATGGTGCCATCTATGCTGTCCTTGTGCATTTGGTTTTTCTTGCCTAAATGTAGAACCTTGCTTTTTTCACCACTGAATTTCATTTTGTTAGTTAGTGCCCAGTGTTCAAGTCTGTCCAGATCCTTCTGTATCTTAAGCCTGTCTTCTGGAGTGTACCAGAAACACAGCTGGCTCATGTTTAAGTGATGATCCACTAGGACTCCGAGATCCCTCTGACAGTTACTAGTATTGGCCTTCCTTCCTCTTATTTTATCACCAGAAATCCTTACGGTATTCTGCACAGCAGTAGTGATGGTGGACAGCACTCCACGGGATCCTGAAGGAGAGGAGGATAACGTCACGTTCTCTTCCAGATTCTGCTGAGGATCCTCTTCCACATCTTAAAGGGAGACACCAATTGATTAAAAATCCAGTAAGAATATGCTCACCAATTTCAGAGGAAAACAAAGAGTTTTTGGACCGATCCCTTGGGAAAGACGGAACCTGCGATGCTGTTTTCTGATGTTTCTGGACGTCCACCCTCTGAAGATGCCGACGAAGAGGTACGAATGCGTAGAATGCCAGCTTTTTCTTTCACTGCTGTTAATCCTTGACCTGACATGGAACAAGTACAGGTAGCCCTTGACTTACAACAGTTCACTTACTGACCGTTCAAAGTTAACAACGGCACTGGAGAAAGTGATTTATGACTTTATTTTTCAGAGTTACGGCCTTTGCCGCATCCCCAGGATCACGTGTTCAAAATTCAGACGCTTGGCAACCGGTTCATATTTATGACCGTTGCTGTGTCCCGGGCATGTGTGTCACATGATCCCCTTGTGCGACCTTCTGACGAGCAAAGTCAACGGGGGAAGCCAGATTCCCTTAACAACTGTGTGACTAACTTAACAACAGCAGTGAATCACTCACCAAGTGGGGCAAGAAAATGGGGCAAAGCTTACTTAACAACAGAGATGTTGGGGTCCATTGTGGTCCTAAATTGAGGACGACCTGCATATTTTACATGCAGTGTATTTGTGTCATGGTTCTGATAAGTGGAACTCTTCAAAGAACTTTGAGGCATTGTTTACCTTAAAGAATCTTTATTCGAGAAGCATAGCATGGGCACATACATAGGCCAAGCCAAAATCTGGATTCCCCTCCCCTGAGCACATAGTAACAAAGCATAATTCCCTCCTTCAATTAACAGTCATAAATCACATTCTCAAATTAGCTTGAAATGCAGGCTTTCCCTCCAGTTCTCCAATCCGCCATTTCTTATCATCTCTTATTTTGAAAACCTTGGTTCTCACCCTAGTTACAGTATTGTTATGTCTAACTAAACTCCCATGCACATTCCTCCTCCTCCCCCCAGTATCATCTAATTCTAACTCTATATTCTAAGAGTAAAGCATAAGAAGGAAAATGGTGGCCTCTCCATACATTGTCAAAGCAAAAACATCCAATGTTAGCAGCATTGACAATTCGATCCTGAAACTCTATGGAAAATTCAGTCAGTAAGAGAGCCACTGAAGGGCCAATGTTATTGGGGAAAGCTGCTGAGACCATTTTGGATGGATTTTTTTTTCAGCCTCAGCCACTACCAGCCCATCTGCCATAAAAGATAACATTGGCTTAAATTTACAGCATTTCATGGAGATTGCACCCTGGCGAAATATTTTGAGTATTCCAATAGTGAATGCATTTTGAGCATTCCAATATGAAGTCTTTACTGAGTGATTTGATTTAAACCTGGCCTTTCATCCCTGGTGCTTCTCATCCCAACATTTGATGAACTGTTAAACCCTAGTACATTCCCATCAAATGAAACTGGATTTCAATCCTGTCGCAGCATATTCTTCTAATCTCGGCTCATTTGTGTTTAATTTAATTGGGACCCAAACCTTACATTCCACTTTTTGTTGTTGCTTCTACTATTAAGGAAATCTGATTTTCATCATCTTGAATGGATCTACAAATAATGTGACGCCAGTAACTACTTCTTCAGCCAACTTGGGTCAAAGTCATCAGAGATGTTAGTTCCTTCAGATCAGAGGTCTTCAAACTTGGCCCTTTTATGACTTGTGGACTTCAGCTCCCAGAATTCCTCAGCCAGGCATGCTGGCTGAGGAATTCTAGGAGTTGAAGTCCACAAGTCATAAAAGGGCCAAGTTTGAAGACCCTTGTCTTAAATCTTACAAACAAAATGGAGGCTGGCTGAGGAATTCTGGGAGTTGAAGTCCACAAGTCATAAAAGGGCCAAGTTTGAAGACCCCTGTCAGCCATCCATCATGTTTTATTAATTGGACCGAGCTGCTTTTTGAACGTCATTCAGTAAGAACAAATGGCCAAATAAGAATGTTGTTATATACTTAACAACTGTGGCAGATGCAGTTGAAAGAAGGGACTTGCTCCAGGACCCCCAAGTGGTCCATCCTTTTCCTTTGGATACTGAAGCCTACCCAAAAAAAAAAAAGTTACAGAAACAGAAAACCATTTGTATTTGTTAAATATTGCTATGTACATTGGAAGAAACAAATAATAAAAGCATATGCAGCACGAAGCACGTAAAATTTTGGTCTTTCGGCCAAGCTCAGATTGCACATCCCAGTTCAGCCCTGAGCTACATATATTCTATTCAAACTGTAATAACTTTTTCAGTTAGAAAGTATGCAATCAACATTTTAAACAAAGTATTTTCCAAGTCCCATAGAGTGCTCAGTTAGAATGGCAACAGGTGCACCTTTAGAAGGTTAGGGGTAGATCATCATGGAGAACAACTATCTATGTGGACATTAGGAATCAAAACCCATCCATCCATCCACTGTCTATCTATCCACCCATCCACCCATCCATCTGTCCACTGTCCATCTATTTATCTACCTACCCCCATCCACCCACCCTTTCTTCTATCTATTCACTCATCCATCCATCCATCCACTTACCCACCCACCCATCCATCTATCCATCCGTCCACTGTCCCTCTATCCATCCATCCGTCCATCCACTATCCATCTATCTATCCACCCATCCATTCATCCATCCATCCATCCACTCACCCACCCATCCATCTATCCATCCGTCCACTGTCCCTCTATCCATCCATCCATCTGTCCATCCACTATCCATCTATCCATCCATCCATTTATCCACCCACCCACCCACCCTTCCATCTATCTATTCACCCACCCATCCATCTATCCATCCATCCATTCATCCACCCACCCACCCACCCTTCCATCTATCTATTCACCCACCCATCCATCCATCCACTCACTCATTCACTCACCTACCCATCCATCCGTCCGTCCACTGTCCATCTATCATCTATCCATCCATCTGTCCACTGTCCATCTATCTATCTACCCACCCATCCATCCACCCTTCCTTCTATCTATTCACTCATCCATCCATCCATCCACTCACCCACCCATCCATCCACTTTCCATCTATCCATCTGCCCATCCACTGTCCATCTATCTATCCACCTATCCATTCATCCACCCACCCATCCACTCACTCACCTACCCATCCATCCGTCCATCTATCATTAATCCATCCATCCGCCTGTCTACTGTCTATCTATCCAGCCTGCCACCCCTCCACCCATCCACTGTCCATCCACCCACCCACCCATCCATCCATCCATCCATCCATCCACCTTCCAGCTATCTATCCACCCTCCCGCCAATCCATCCATCCACCCATCCATTCCACACAATATTTCGAATGTTGTCATCTGTTGAAGACCCAGAATGATTGAAACCCTAAGATTTGACTCTTTTTGTCTGTTGGTTTGTTTACTAGTTTGCTAATATTCTTACTCATAGCATCAACTTGTCTAGCATGACTCCAGTGCTATGTGAAAGAGAGGGGTTTTTTTTGTGTGTGATTTTCTTCAGGAAGATCTTTTTTTGTGTGGGGGGGGGGGGATGGAAAGAGAGTCTGAGCAAACTAAGCAAATCCTCTAATTGAAATTGGCAACTTTACGGCAAGTCTTTCCCCCTCTACTATGATAAAGAGTTGAGTTGGTGCTGTGGAGAAAAAATGGAGGAGGAATATTATACATGCTAACTTGACTTTCTAAAGAAAAAGGTGGATAGAGAGCAAATAAATGAGTAAACAAAGTTTATTTGTCAATGCCCCAAAGAATTCTGGCAAGATTGTTTCTTACCAAATCGCTTTCTTTGTTCAGTCCTTCAGCTCCAACTTCTGGTTCAAGGCTTATAGAATCGCTGCATTCAATCACATCGTTCTTAACTGTTTCTCCACTGGAATGTTGCCCGTTTGAAGGACCTTCCAAATGTGATGCCTGTTGCTCTTCCAAGTCCTTGTTGGGGCTTTCAGAAGATTCCCCAACTTGCGGTGATATCTCCATTATCTTTTCATCATGCACAGCTCTGTTGGATGCTGAGACGTTTTGCTCAGATGTCAATGTGCATTCACTTTTCTCTTGAGTTAACGTCTCACCTCTGTTATCTGACATTTTTTGGGTCCTAAAAGAGGAGAAAAGTAGTGACATATTTCTGATTGGTTAAAATAGACTTTCAAAGCAAAGAAAACTAGAACATTTTTACAGTTTTCTGCAGCAGTAATTTTAGAACAGAACAGAACAGAACAGAATAGAATAGAGTAGAAAATATGGAATAGGATAGGAAAGGATAGGAAAGGAAAGGAAATATGGAATAGAATAGAATAGAATAGAATAGAATAGAATAGAATAGAATAGAATAGGAAATATGGAAAAGGATAGGATAGGGTAGGGTAGGATAGGATAGGAAATATAGAATGGAATAGAATAGAATAGAATAGAATAGAATAGAATAGAATAGAATAGAATAGAATAGAATAGAATAGAATAGAATAGAATATATGGAATGGAATGGAATGGAAGGGAAGGGAAGGGAAGGGAAGGGAAGAGGAGAGGAAAGGAGAGGAGAGGAGAGAAGAGATGAAGAATAGAATGGAATGGAATGGAAGGGAAGGGAAGAATAGAATAGAATAGAATAGAATAGAATAGAATAGAATAGAATATATGGAATGGAATGGAATGGAAGGGAAGGGAAGGGAAGGGAAGGGAAGGGAAGGGAAGGGAAGGGAAGGGAAGGGAAGAGGAGAGGAAAGGAGAGATGAAGAATAGAATGGAATGGAAGGGAAGGGAAGGGAAGAGAAGAGAAGAGAAGAGAAGAGATGAAGAATAGAATAGAATAGAATAGAATAGAATAGAATAGAATAGAATAGAATAGAATAGAATAGAATAGAAGATGGAAGGGATCTTGGAGGTCTTCTAGTCCAACCCCCTGCCCACAGCAGAGGAGTAAGAGCAGGACCCTCTCAGTGGTAGCACGCCAACTGATAGCACTTCATCTTCCCTCCTAAGTGAGGTTGGCCAACTGTCTTCTTGGAGAAAATACTTGCTAAATTGCATGATGTTAATGGAAGAAAAAATACTTTAGGGCAAGATTATCCTTCAAATAATTCTATTTTTTATTATTTATACAAAACTAAATATGCTGCCAACGACATATCAGAAACCTCAGCTATCTGGTATATGTTTTCTACAAAGAAGTCACCTTAATTTAATACGTAATTAAGTGTCGCTATATAAGGAAGGAGCCAGCTTGACTTTGAGGGGAAGCTCTTCCAGAATGAGGAGGAGATATCTACCCCCCACTTCTAGAGATACAAACGGTAACAAATGGAAAGGAAAGGAAAGGAAAGGAAAAGAAAGGAAGGGAAGGGAAAGGAAGGGAAGGGAAGGGAAGGGAAGGGAAGAAGGAAAGAAGGAAAGGAAGGGAAGGGAAGGGAAGAAGGAAAGGAAAGGAAAGGAAAGAAGGAAAGGAAGGGAAGAAGGAAAGGAAAGGAAAGGAAAGAAGGAAAGGAAGGAAAGGAAAGAAGGGAAGGAAAGGAAAGGAAAGGAGAAAGGGGAGAGGACAGGATAGCAGAGGGGAGAGGAGAGGAAGGGAAGGAAAGGAAAAAGGAAGGGAAGGGAAAGGATACAAACGGTAACAAATGGAAAGGACAGGAAAAGTGGAAAAGAAAGGAAAGGGGGGGGGGAAGGAGGAGGAAGCTGCAGGTAGCCATTCCGCCTTCTTACCACCGCCGAGCTGCTGGGGCTGCTGGCTGCGGCGCGCCCTGCCTGCGCCCTGCCTTTCCCCTCCCGGCCACGTCGGCAGAAGCCCGGCGCGAGCGGGGCCGGGGCGGGCCGAGCGAAGGGCCGGCCGTTCGCTGCGCGGGGGGCGGCGGAGGCTGGCGCTTCCGAGGGAAGAGAGACACCAAGCAACTTTTCCCGATCCGGCTGCCTGGGAAAAAAGCTAAGCAGGGCTGGGCTCGGCTGGGCCTTGGAGGGGGCCGCAGCCGCCAAAGGCAGAGCGGCAGGCTAGACCAGAAGGCAGAAAAAAAAAACAACAACCCAGAAGAAGATCCTGAGCCATGCAGGTCCTGGGTGTCCCAAAGGTGCTTTTTTTTTTTTTTTTTTCCCCAGGAGGCCACTGGACTTAATCTTGTTTTTCCTTTGAAGACGTTTCGCTTCTCCTCCCAGAAGCTTCTTCTGCTCTGACTGGATGGTGGAGGAATGGAAGGATTGATATTCCTTGCAGACAGCTGGTCCTTTGTCTCCTTGAGGCCATTTGGACCCTGAGGACATGGACAAAGCTCCAAGTGGCCTCAAGGACAATTGCCTGGGTTATTAGTAAAGCCCATGCGTGAGAACCTCCTCAGAAGTTGCACCACCCTTTGAGGTGGTCGGCCTTTGTTCCTTTGAGGCTAAGAAAGTCTCTAAGCCAGTGGTTCTCAACCTTTTTAATGCCGCGACCCCCCAACCGGTCGTAAGTCGAGGACTACTCAACCGGTCGTAAGTCGAGGACTACTCAACGGGTGCAGCACCATTTGCAGAAGGGGACTTTTGGCGGGCTCAGCAGGGCAGAGACAGCCTGGACAATTCCTATTGGCTTTTGAAAGCCAATAGAATTAGACTCTATTCAAGAGAGTCTATTCTATTGGCTTTCAAAAGCCAATAGAATAAAAGGGAGGAGCACAGCTAAGGAAAAGGGGGAAAAAAATGGCGGACTGCGTTGTTTGGTGACCCCCGTGAAATGGTCGTTCGACCCCAAATGGGGTCCCGACCCACAGGTTGAGAACAGCTGCTCTAAGCTGATGCCTCTTTTAACTCCACCCCTGATCTCCACCACTCTCTCCTACACGTTGTCACCTACTCTCTTGTCTCTTCGATTGATAGGGTCCATTATGTCACCCAACCTCTGGCTCAAGCCAGTGGATTCTTTTTCTCATCACCTGCTCCCTCCCTCTTTCCTTCTCTCCCTCCCTCTCTCCCTCCTTCCATGCCCCCCTCCTTCCCTCCCTTCCTCTTTCCCTCCTTCCATGCCCCCCTCCTTTCCTCTCTCCCTCTTTCCCTCCCTTCCTCTCTTCCTCCCTCCATGCCCCCTCCTTCCTTCTCTCCCTCCTCTCTCCCTCCCTCCATGCCCCACTCCTTTCCTCTCTCCTTTCTTCCCTTCCTTTCTCACTCCCTCCATGCCCTTCCCTCTCTCCCTCTTTCCCTCCCTTCCTCTTCCTCTCTCCATGCCCCCTCCTTCCTTCTCTCCCTCCTCTCTCCCTCCTTCCATGCCCCCTCCTTTCCTCTCTCCTTTCTTCCCTTCCTCTCTCCCTCCCTCCATGCCCTTCTCTCTCTCCCTCCTTCCCTCCCTTCCTCTTTCTCTCCTTCCATTCCCCCCCTCCTTCCCTCCCTTCCTCTCTCCCTCCCTTCCTCCATGCCTCCTCCTTCCCTCTCTCCCTCCTTCCCTCCCTTCCTCTCTCCCTCCCTCCATGCCCCCTCTTTCCTTCTCTCCCTCCCTCCCTCTTTCCCTCCTTCCATGCCCCCCTCCTTCCCTCTCCTTCCTTCCCTTCCTCTCTCCCTCTCTCCATGCCCCTCCTTCCCTCTCTCCCTCCCTTCCTCTCTCCCTCCTTCCCTCCCTCCTTCCCTCCCTTCCTTTCTCACATCTTCCATGCTCCCCTCCCTCCTTCCCTCCCTCCCTCCTTTTCTCTCCTTCTCCCTGCCTGGGAGGGGGTCCGGCGGCCTGCTCTAGCCAAGAATGCAATTTAAATGTTTTTTGGGGAGGGGAAGGGGGGGGAAAGCCCCTTTTCTCCCCATCTTCGCTGCCTGGGAGGGGGGCCGGCGGCTTGGTCTAGCGGAGAGGGAAAGTTCCTCTTTCCACTTTCACTTTTGCTCAGCCCGGATTTCCCCCCGCCGGTCGGAAAGAGTCCGGGGGCGACGGGGAGGAGCGGGGGGGGGGAGGCAGTCTTCCCGGCAAGGAGAAGGAGAAACGGGCCACCTCCTTCTGTTCAGAAAAGCAGGCGAGTCCCGAGCGGAGCGACACGCGTCTCCGCACGTCTGAAGGCAGGCAGGCAGGCAGGCGCGCGCTGCCTTTTTCAAACCCTCGTGGAACCGCCGTATCCAAAACAAAAACTCGGGCAGGTCGTTTCATCCTTCCAAGGTAGGTGGGACGTGGGAAGCAGCCCCGAGGTGGGGAGGAAAGAGGGCTGGGGTCCAGACGCAACTGGGGGGGGGGGCTTCAGGCGAAGCTGTCCCGGGGCTGCAGCTGTCCAGAGAAATCACAATCAGAACAGCAACAGCCCTTATACCAAGGATTCTCAACCTTGGCAACTTTAAGACTTGTGGACTTCAACTCCCAGAATTCCTCAGCCGGAGTTGAAGTCCACAAATCTTAAAGTTGCCAAGGTTGAGAACCCCTTCCTTATACTTATATGCTACTTCACGGTGCTGGACAGCTCTCTCTGAGGGGTTTTACGGAATCAGCATTTTTGCCCCCAACCACCTGGGTCCTCGTTTTACCAATAAGTCATAATCAAGCATAATCATAATCATAATATCACCATAATATCATCATAGTTGTAGTCAATCGTAAACATAACCATAAACGTAATCGTAGGCATAGCCATAATCATAGTCATAGCCATAGTCATAAACAAACATAATCGTAATCATAGTCATAATCAATCACAATAACAATCACATCAGTCCTTTTGGGTTGCGTCTTCTCCACTAGAGCTTCCTTCTCTTCTAACCAGGGGCGTCACTGGAAGATCCCTCCCTTCCTGCCCCCCCCCCCCGCCTTTGCAACTGCAAAGTGGTCACAACAGCCCCCCCAACACTCCTTCCTCCTCCCCCCCCCAACGCATCAAAAAGTAGGTTTGGAAGGAGCCCTGGCCATCAAAACGTCCCTTTGCTTTCGCTTTTTGCTGATTTTCAGAGCATTTCTCTCCCCTGGGCTGTTTCAGCCTGACTTCCTCTTTTGAAGGTGCGCCATGAGCCTTTTAAAAAAAAAAAAAGAGAGAGAGAGAGAGAGAGAGAGAGAGGAAAAGAGAGACAGAAAAAGAAAGATAATAATGATGATGATGATAATGATGATGATGATAATAATAATAATAATAATAATAAAGAACTGGAGAAGATAACAAAATACAAAGACCTATAAACAGAAATAAAAAGACTGTGGCAAAGGCAAGCAAGGGTAGTACCAATAGTAATAGGCGCCTTGGGTGCAATCCCAAACAACTGGAGCACCATTTGAACACCATCATCGGCATTGACAAATTCGCCATAGTCAATTGCAAAAGGCAGCCTTACTAGGAACTGCTTCCATCCTGCCACGATATCTGTAATACCATCAAATATCCACATCTGCCTATCCCAGGTCCTTGGTAAGGACTCGAAAGGTAGACAAAATGCCAAATCCAGTCTGAACATCTGGCTGACTGTGCGATGATTAATAATAATAATAATAATAGTAATAATGGCAAATTTGTCAATGAACATCATTGGCATTGACAAATTTGCCATTAGTCAATTGCAAAAGGCGCCCTTATTAGGAACTGCTTCCATCTTGCGACAATATCTGTAATACCATCAAACATCCACATCTGCCTATCCCAGTCCTGGGTAAGGACTCGATAGGTAGACAAAAATGGCAAATCCAGTCTGAACATCTGGCTGACTGTGCGATGATCCATAATAATAATAATAGTAATAATGGCAAATTTGTCAATGAACATCATTGGCATTGACAAATTCGCCATTAGTCAATTGCAAAAGGCGGCCTTACTAGGAATTGCTTCCATCCTGCGACGATATCTGTAATACCATCAAACATCCACATCTGCCTATCCCAGGTCCTTGGGAAGGACTCGATAGGTGGACAAAAATGCCAAATACAGTCTGAGCATCTGACTGACTGTGTGATGATCAATAATAATAATAATAATAATAATAATAATAATAACCATCCTGCGACGATATCTGTAATATCATCAAACATCCACATCTGCCTATCCCAGGTCCTGGATAAGGACTCGATAGGTAGACAAAATGCCAAATCCAGTCTGAACATCTGGCTGACTGTGCGATGATCTATAACAACAACAACAACAACAACAATAATAATAATAATAATAATATAATCATGTTTCTAGTATCTTAGAAGATCAATATGAACTTTCATGATAATATATTATTAACAGACATTTCTGTTATGCTGTTAAAGTTTCATTTATTATCATTCAAAAGAATAAAGGATGCCGAACGATGAACTATTAAAGGCTGATGTAATATTGTAGTGCGAATTATTTTTTTGCAGAACGATGCCCAGCTGAGAGAAGCCTCAACCCTACCGTCCTTATGGCTGGAAGGAAAATGTCAGCTACCAACCACTTTCTCTCCGTTTGTATATTTGTGATAACCTTATGGAATTTCACCCACTCGGCCACGGAACATGAACTTATAGCGAACTATTCAAAGAATTCCCTCTTTACGATTCCCAAAGATTTATCAACCCAAACATCCGTTCTGGATCTGTCGGATAATAATCTATCTAAACTAGAAGTCTCTAATTTTCGCTCCCTTCCCAATTTAAAAGTGCTAATTCTGTCTCATAATTTTATCCAAGACATTGATCTAGGGGTTTTCCAGCACAACAAAATCTTAGAGCACCTCGATCTATCTCACAACCATCTATGGAATATGTCTAGTTTCCCTATGAAAAGCCTCAAGCATCTAGATCTGGCTTACAATGACTTTGTCACCATGCCGTTGTCCACCGAATTCATCAAAGTCACAAAGCTGGACTATTTTGGAATTAGTACTAGAAAGCTTCCAAGTGTCGACGCTCTTGTGCGCTTACAAGCGAAGACCCTGTTTCTTGGCTTAGAAGATCTTAACGAAGATGGGCCAGGAAACCCTCTAGTGTTCATTGCAAAGAGGGTTCAGATTGTGCTCCCTCAAAGCGCAAAATTTCGCCTCCTCTTGAATCTGGGGTTCATCGGTACAGAAAGTTTAGAACTTTCTAAGATCCCACTGGGGCAAGTTGAAGACTTAAGAACATTTCTGTCGAAGCTAACTGAAAAAAGCCTGTTGCTAAATCTGACCATAACTGACACGAAATTCAGTTGGAAAGAGCTCATTGATGTTTTTAAGGTAGCGGGGAAATCCAGCATTAATCATCTAACCTTCTTATATCCAACCATTACTACGTTCAACGCTGGAGCTTTGAAAAATGCGGATCTCTCATTAAAGAGTTTAACCATCAAATATACACTCCTTGACACAGGAACATTTAACCAGGACATCGTGTACTCAACTTTTTCAAACTTGAACATTGACAGTTTGACTATTTCTGATTCTGGTATATTATATGTGATTTGTCCTGAAAAGCCCAGTCGGTTTAAGTACTTATGTTTTGAAAACAACACATTGACTGACACAATGCTAAGAGGCTGCGAACACTTAGCTATGCTGCAAACGCTCCTTTTACAAAAGAATAGACTTGAAGATCTTACCAGGGTGAGTTTAATGACAAGCAGCATGACGTCCCTGAATTATATGGATATAAGCCAGAATAATTTGTACTACAAAGACAGCGGAAACGAATGCAACTGGGGCGAAAATATAACGAAACTGAATTTGTCATTCAACAAGTTAACCGACTCGGTTTTTAGATGTTTGCCGAACAATATCCAAATTTTGGACTTACAAAGTAATCATATTTCAGCTGTGCCTAAAGAGATCACTAACCTGACTGCTTTAAAGGAGTTAAACTTGGCTTCTAACAGACTCGATGCCTTTCCAGGATGCGGCCATTTTAGCAACCTTCACGTGCTCAACGTAGAAAATAATTTTGTCCTGGACCAGTTTTCTGAATTCTTCCAGACCTGTCAGAATATCCAAAGAATAAACGGAGGACATAATCCCTTCCACTGCAACTGTGAATTAAGGCAGTTGATTCATCTTCAGAAAGAAGAATCCGTGGCGTTAGTTGGTTGGCCTGATGCTTATAGGTGTGACTCTCCCAGCGGCATAAGAGAAACTCTTTTAAAAGATTTCCATATTTCTGAACTTGAGTGCAACGTGACTCTCTTGATTATAGTTGTTCTCGTGGTTACTCTGTTGATAATAGCCGTTGTAGCCTTCCTCTGCATCCGCTTTGACATTCCTTGGTATTTCAAGATGATCTGGGGCTGGAGCCAAGTGAAACGCCGGATATGGAAGAATAAATCGGAAGATATCTCTGAGAACATCCAGTATCATGCGTTTGTGTCCTACAGCGAGCATGACGCTCACTGGGTCAAAACTGAGCTAATTTCCAATCTGGAGAAGGAAGACGGATCCTTAAAGATCTGTCAACACGAGAGGGACTTCATCGCCGGGAAGAGCATTGTGGAGAACATCATAGACTCCATAGAGAAGAGCTACAAGTCCATCTTCGTGCTGTCTCCCAATTTCGTGCAGAGCGAGTGGTGCCATTACGAGCTGTATTTTGCTCATCACAAGTTATTCAGCGAGAACGCCGACGGTTTAATTCTGATTTTGTTGGAGCCCATACCGGCCTACCTCATTCCCGCCAAGTACTACAAACTCAAAGCTCTCATGGCCAAGAGGACCTACTTGGAATGGCCAAAAGACAAGAGAAAGCATGCCTTTTTCTGGACTAATCTCCGTGCAGCTCTCCAGATTAAACTGCCAAACCCTGAAGAAATGAATGAGCTCTAGGTAAGGAGGCTAACCACCAAAGACAGTGGTGTCCATCATTTTTTTCATGACAGACAAATGGTTTTTGGTAGCGTAGTTACCAAAACCAAATTCTCTTTTGGATCGTGACTTATAAAGAAGAGGGATGTCTAACTCAACTTTATCCGTACCGGTTTTATATATTTTTAAAAATATTAAATTAATAATTTTCCCTTTTCTAGTTCTTGCATTCTGACACGGAACGACACAAAATCCATATCGGATATGAAAACATCTAACAACTACTGTATAAAGAAAACAAATGTTGCCAGCATCCTGATGTGTATATATTTGAAGACCTTTTAAAAGTGGCTTTTTTTATTTGGTATAATTTCCCTGACTTTTCTCCTTCCTAGTTTTTGTATTGTGTTTGATTTTGGCTAGAGTCACCTTGCATTTGTTTAAAAATTATCTAGGTCGGTGTTCCAAAAATTAAAAAAAAAAATCATGAAAAAAAATCTCCTCAGTTGTTCTTTGCACATTGACGATCAGATGAATTATATCGGTCTTCTTGCAAAGTATAAACATCTTCCCCAGCTTAAGAAAAGATTTAGGGATTAGGAATTTAATTTGCATTAGTGAATAAGATACTCGGATAACACGTTTTTGCTGAACGATTACTATTGAACTCTGTGGAAAAAAAATCAATACAACTTTATATAAAAAAAACAACATCTTCCCCAGTGTAAATCCGGGTTAATTGCATGGGAGTTATTCCAAGAAAAATTGACCATCGGATTGTAGTCAAAAGACATTTGCAAGCAATTGTCCTCCAATATCCTGGCAAAGAATTTTTTGAAAGAATCTCTGTTGCTTGGATTGTAAAATAGAGCAGGTGGTTTGATTGTAGTGTGTAGCAACTGCTCTTTTGTGATTCGTTGTGCAACCCCATCTCACAGAGGTATCTTCTGGATAAAAAAAGGGGGGGAAATTTCCCCTCAAAAAGAAAAAACACGGAGGGAAAAAAATCATTCTATTCTATTCTATTCTATTCCAGATTTTCTATTCTATTCTATTCTATTCTATTCTATTCTATTCTATTCTATTCTATTCTATTCTATTCTATTCTATTCCAGATTTTCTATTCTATTCTATTCTATTCTATTCTATTCTATTCTATTCTATTCTATTCTATTCTATTCTATTCTATTCTATTCTATTCTATTCCAGATTTTCTATTCTATTCTATTCTATTCTATTCTATTCTATTCTATTCTATTCTATTCTATTCTATTCTATTCTAAATGTATACAGTAATGTGTAAAATCTTCATGGAACATTGGTGACATCTAGTGGTGTTAGATATTCCTCAAAAAGGAGAGATTCATGTTGCCTATTATTAGTGGAAGGAATAAGAAGAAACACGTCGGATTTACTCATACGGGGCATTTTTTATGATGAAAAGCTGTGGCTACAAAATGATCTTCGTTGCAGGAAAAAATAAGTAATACTAGGTCCATTCTTCTGAAAGCATCAGATAAGATCCTTCATCTGAAGACTAGCTAACCTCCTTGGGTAAGTATCTAAAATACAAAGGGCCATACAATAGTTTTGTCAAAGGCTTAGGATCACAGATTGAGTTGTAGTCCAGAAAGATTTATTGCCCTACCTTATAGACAAGAATCTAGTCAACTGATGCAGAGGTCTCCAACCTTTTGGTCACCAGAGACGGTTCCATGGAGAAAGATTTTTCCACGGACCGGAGAGTGCCTAGTTTTGGGTGCTGCCTACATCCCATGGATGGGGCTTTGCTTGTTTGTGCGGACCGGTTGCTGGCAAGTTGTGATCCGGTACCGGTCCATGGACTGGGGATTGGGGACCCCTGAGCTAATGGTCAGCACTAAATTAGTGTGAGGTAAAGCTGCATGGAATTCAAGGAGGCTAGATTTAAATTTCACTACGACGCAAAGACTCTAAACTGATGGTGCATTTAATTCCACCAGCTCTGCTTGCACTTGAGGGGTCCTTGGTGTTCTCTGAGCTTGTTTTCTTAGAGATGTTTCATTACCCAAACCAGGCAACATCATCAGCAGTGGTGATGTTACCACATTTGGTCATGAAACGTCTGCGAGAAAACAACCCAGCTCAGAGAGCACCAAAGACCCCACAGTTGTCGTCATTCTCTTCCTCCTTCTCCTCCTCCTCTTCCTCCTCCAACTCATCCAACTCCAACTCAGTTTAACGAAGAGAAGGACAAGGGGGGACATGATAGCAGTATTCCAATATCTCAGGGGCTGCCATAAAGAAGAGGGAGTCAAGCTATTCTCCAAAGCACCTGAAGGCAGAACAAGAAGCAAAGGATGGAAACTAACAAAAGAGAGAAGCAACCTAGAACTAAGGAGAAACTTCCTGACAGTGAGAACAATTAATCAGTGGAACAGCCTGCCTCCAGAAACAGTAAATGCTCCAACACTGGAAGTTTTTAAGAAGAGACTGGACAGTCATTTGTCCAAAATGGTGTCGGGTTTCTTGCCTGAGCAGGGGGTTGGACTAGATGACCTCCAAGGTCCCTTCCAACTTTACTACTATTATTATTATTATTATCATCCTGCTCAAACTTCTCCTCCTCCTCCTCAAACTCCATCCCCTTCTAGCACTGATGATGTTACCTAGATGGGTGATGAAACGTCTGCAAGAAAGCAACTAAGCTCAGAGAGCATCAAGGACCCTACAATCCTCTCCTTCCTCCACTCTGCAAACCTCACTCCCTTCTAGCATTGATGATGTTACCTAGTTTGGTAATGAAAGGAAAACAAGCACACTTAAGGACCCCTCTTTTCAGCCCTGAGCTACAGATAGTCTCTTCTCTTCTTCCCCAACTCTAGAGCAGGGGTTCTCAACCTTGGCAACTTCAAGACTTGTGGACTTCAACTCCCAGAATTCCTCAGCCAGCTTTGCTGGGAGTTGAAGTCCACAAGTCTTAAAGTTGCCAAGGTTGAGAACCCCTGCTCTAGAGTTATTGTATAGCTCTATTCCTGAGTTCTGTGTGGAGGCAGATTCACAAGTTCTGCAAACACGGGCAACACGTAGGGTCAACACAATATATAAATTATGTCACCGTTTACTGCTCTCCTTTCTGGCTCGGCTTCTTGTCCTTGAGTCAGCAGACAGGTTTGCTGGTATACAGGTTAGTCCTGAGGTTATGACCACAATTGAGCCCAAGTTTTTTTGTGGCTAAGTGAGGATATTTGTTAGGTGAATTTTGCCCCATTTTACGAGTTGTTAAGTGAATCACTGCACTTACTCAATTAGCTGTTAAGTGAACCTGACTTCCCCATTAACGTTTCTCATCAGACGGTCACAAAAGGGGATCACGTGACTCCAGGACACTACAACCGTCATAAATACGAGTCCGTTGTGCAGCATCTGGATGTATATCACATGACCACAGGGACGCTGCAACGGTCGTGTGAAAAACGGTCACAAGTCGCTTTTTTCAGTGCTGTTGTAACTTCCGAACGGTCACTAAGTGTTCCTGTAATTGCAGGAACAGGGAACAGTTGTGTGTGAAGGTGGAAGTTGCTTCACTCTCCCACACATCAACACAAACAAGTGTGCAGGTGTGCTTCATGGGACAGCTACCTCTTGCAAGTCACAACTGCATTTACCAAATCATACAACAACAACGCCTTTTTCACGTTGCTTTGCAAGATTCTTCTGCTGGATAATGAGCAGAGATAATAACCTTTCCGGATTTGGCTAATTAATTGTCCCAATTAGTTGGGCCACGTGAAGGAAGTAGCAACACGGTGTGCCAATGGCCAGCCAGGCTTGTTCTACCCTGTCTGTCTTGTACTGCAGAAGAGCAATCTGGTGGACTGAGCAGAACCAGGTGAAAGATATTTGAGAAGTCTGGTTGAGAAACTTTTTGCCACCTTCACTTAAGGAGTAGGGTAGATTTTCATGGAATACAACATGAAGGCATTTGTTGTGATTCCTTGGCAGCCAGTGGACCTGGCAGCTGAGTCTGAGGAATCAGAGGAGGAAGAGGAGGGGCCTGGAGTGACATCAGAGTCAGAGGAAGGCTCTGAGGAGCTCCAAGAGTTACAGTCGGACGAGGAGCCTGGCCCCTCTACTCCTGAGACTGAGACACAGCTGTACTGGGAGCCTGAGTTGGACAATGATGAAGAACAGCTGGGACAAATCCAGGATGCATGTAAACGCTGACAAGAAAAGAGAGTAGGAAAGAGGGATGCAATGGGGCGGCTCCAAAGGCAAAGGAGAAGGCATTAGGGAGCCACGCCTTGGCTGCATAATAAAAGGGAAGGTGTGGGAGGTGCTGGTTGCCAAAGCAACCGTGTTGAGGATCGAGTTTCTGTGGACTGTGTTTTGTTTGCCTTGGACATGGACTCAGGTCTGTGAATAATAAAAGAGGATTGGTTTTTTCCTGCGGTTCCAGCCTGCTTGTTGGAAGAGGGATTTCTCCTTGTGAGCTCAACAAGGACTCACGTAGGCTGGGACAGAACAGCATTTAAGCATTAGACTAGAAACTTGAGTGGCAGTTTCCCCTTCCATTAAATGGGTCAAGGAACTCTTGTTCCACTAGTTACGAACTAATTACAAAACTCACTTAACCAATGTCTCCCTTAACAACGTAAATTTTGGACTCAATTATCGTTGTAAGTCGAGGGCTATCTGTAATTAAGCGGGCCTAGATTTAATGGATCTGCTCTAAATATCCCTTCTGTGCTAGAGCCAGCTTCTTTTTTTTCCAATTACTTTCATTTTCTTTCTTTCTTTTTTTTAAAAAAGAATACGACTTTGCCGGGAGTGTTATTTACATATGGACATTTACTATGCGTCTTGTTTCATTAACAAGTATTATACATTTTTCCATACTATATATATGACATAGGAGGACTGTACAGTACAAATATATATTCACAGTTTGACATGACAAAATGTCATATACTGAATTCCCCCCATCAGATTACCAAAAAAGTAGAAACAATAAAGGAATATTGAAACATTCACATCTTTAGTGAAGAAAGATTACCAAAATTTTTCAGTATCCGCAAATGCTAGGAAGACATGCTAAAAAACCTTTATTTACCCAATTATCATTAGCTTGTAAAATATATTACATTTTATTTTATTTTTTAAAAACATCTGCATAGTTTTTAGACGAGAAGTAGGATAAATGTAATTGTTCTTGCTACACTTGCAGGTGGGGATTTGAAAAGACGCTTAAGCAGGACGATTATTTTGCCTGTGTAACATTTTAAAAATATATAAATAGTTAAGAAAGTGCTAATATTTGTAAAACGTAATGGGAATTATTGTAGCCCTTTAAAATACTTTTTTCCGCAGTCCTGTTGGAAAAGATATACGTTGCAAAGCCGGAAGTCAAAATACAAACACGGTGCTATCGCGAAAGTGTTATATGCATGTGTGTTTAACAGAATGACAGGCGTAACTGAAAACAAAATTGTGGAAATCTTAATAGCCCCAACTGGGGGAGAATCCCTTTTTCATCGTGCTTCATAAGATGCGACTAAAAAAGGCATCCTAAAAGACGTATCCTACGCAGTGCAATTCTACTAGTGGACGGAGGGGCCGGAGAAATGGATGTTTTCCGATTTCTTTGGCACAGATAGTCCTCGACTTAAAACAGATCGTTTCGTGACCGTTCAAAGTTACAACGGGCACTGGACAAAAAAGTGAGCTATGATGGTTTTTCACACTGTCACAGTATCTCCATGGTCACACAATCAAAATCCAGAATGCTTGGCAACTGACTCCAATTAATGACGCTCGCAGTGTTGTCATAACTAAAAAGACAGAAATATTGCAAGCAATTTCCAATTCCTTATTTTCTAGAATGTTTTTGCCCGTTCTAGTCTTTGGCTCTCATCTAAGCGCTGGCTAGGTCCTAGTCACAGCTTAGATGGACTTAGAAGGACCAGGGATGGATGACAGGATAGCAGCTTTCCAATATCTCAGGGGCTGCCCCAAAAAGGGAGTCAAGCTGTTCTCCAAAGCGCCTGAAGGCAGGACAAGAAGCAATGGATGGAAACTAACCAAAGAGAGAAGCAACCTAGAACTAAGGGGAAAGTTCTTAACAATGAGGACAATTAACCAGTGGGACAACTTGCCACTAGAAGTTGTGAATGCTCCAACCCTGGAAGTCTTTAAGAAGAGACTGGACAGCCTTTTGTCTGAAATGGTATAGGGTTTCCTGCTTGAGCAGGGGGTTGGACTAGATGACCTCCAAGGTATCTTCCAACTCTGTTACTCTGGGTCCAAATCTCATTGGTAGTCAAGATCTTGAGGACCACCGTATTCAGTTGGTTAGTAGTTCCCCTTTCTGCATCCCTAAAGCTTTTGTGGGAACCTTTGCTAACTGGGTGATTTAAAGAACTTAGTGAAAGGGATCTTTTCCTAGACATGGATTTAGGTCTACAGATTCCAGAATACGGGGTTTACTTCTACAGGTCGTCCTTGACTTACATCCATTGTTTAGAACAGCACCGAAAAAAGTGTCTTATGACCACTTTTCACACTTTACAACTGTTGCCGCATCCCCGTGATCAAAATTCAGATGCTTGGCACCGACTCATATTTACGACGCTCGCCGTGTCTCCAGGGGTCACGCGATCCCCTTTTGCGACCTTCGGAGAAGCAAAGCCGATGGGGGAAGCCCAGATTCACTTAATGACCGTGTTACTAACTTAATTGGTGTGATTCACTTGACAACTGTGGCAAGAAAGGTCGTAAAAAGGGGACAAATTCAATAAATGGCTCGCTTAGCAACGTAAATGTTGCGCTCCATTGTGGTCGCAAAGTCAAGGACAACCTGCGTCAAAATAACGCTCGTCTTTAGTGGCCCAAAAATGGGGAATCCACTTTCGCTTAAACAGCTCAACAACTGTTTCAAGAAAGGTCATAAAACAGGGGCCAAACTCAAGAACTGTCTCACTTAGCAACATAAAGTTTGGGGTCAGTTGCCGTCGTATATTGAGGACTTTATGTAGTAATTTGCATCCTTAGTTTTCCTGCAGTCTGGACCAAACTGTCTTGACCAAACTGCAAATGGTATATAAATCTGGTGTGGGTTTTTTTTTTTCCAATCCTGCCACATATTCGTCCACATCAATACAAAGAAACTTTTAATAGCATCGGCCTCAAATTAATTAGCTAGTTATACAGATTTGCAAGGCAGTTCGATGATATCCTTCCCCCCCCCTTTTTTTTTTTTGCTCAGAATTAAGGAAAAGAAAAAAATACTCCCGACACATCTAAAATAGGGAAATAGAGGAAGAGGTTGTGAAGCTTTATTAGAAAATAAGAATTAGGGGGAGGAGATCAATTATTTCTTCTTCCATTTTATTTTATGGTCAATATTTGATGGCATCAACCTCCATTTAAGTCAGGTGGGGAAAAAATTGAAAATGCTTTGTGGGAAATAAGTTTACGAAAAACCAAGGGTTACTGCACTGCACATTTTTTTAAATCTAGCCACGGAGCTTGAAAAATATTTGTCTGTTATAGGCAAAGGCACAACTTGGTAAATCACGTTCATTTCAGCTCTCCGTGTGTGCTTCCAAGGCACAGCCCTCACCGCCTTCTAGTGTTTATTTAAAAATCTTGATTATTTTTAGAGGGGATGCAAAAGATCAGCTGATAGTTGTGATTCTCTCCACTTTAACGTCTCGGGGTCCAGTTCCTGACGCTTAAAACAAATTAATTTTCTTGTTGTTTTTTTCTCTCTCCTGGAACCAGATAGTGTTAAAAGTCTAGTGATCAATTTGGCTTGACAATACAGCAGAAAAATACAAGAGATTTTTGTTCCATTACAACCACAGTTTCTAGATTGCAGTGTTAAATGATTCCTCCGTCGTTTGCTTATCAATTAACAATCGTCTGGATTTTTGCAATGCAGATAATCTTAATCGATATTCCAATAACCATACAATTCCTCCCGGTATAAGCTGACATTCGAAAAGCAGCATAAATGTGCCTTATTCAAACGTACATGTACAGCACAGCTGTCTTAAGCTTTGACATCAAATTGGGAACAGGCTTCAGATAGTCCTCAGATTGTAACAGTTCATTTAGTGACCAAAGTTACAACGGCACTGACAGAAGCAACTTCAGGCAATTTTTCACATTTATGACCACTGCAGCATTCCCCTGGTCACTAATCAAAATTCAGACGCTTGGCAGCTGATTCATATTTACGACGGTTGCGGTGTCCCCGTGTGTGTGTGTCACGAAATCCTCTTTTAGTGACAAGCAAAGTTCACGGGGAAGCCAAATTCCACTGAACAACCGTGTTACTAACTCAAGAGCTACAACGATTCACTTTAACAACCACAGCAAGCAAAGTCGCAAAATGGGGCAAAACCCGTTTCACACGTATTTGGCTTAGCAACAGAAATTTTGAGCCCAGTTCTGGTCGTTAAGTCGAGGATTACCTGCTTATCCAATCTAAAGTGAGCTGGTCACTAAGCGTTCTGTCTTTTTTCTTCCTTCTTCCAAATGACGGCAAAAATGATGTTGCTGTTCTGCAAACTTCCACACATTTTGAATTCAGGACAACCCTGTTTTGAACACACAGAGATAAGCTTGTTTCCATTGGGCACTTCTCCAATACCTTGAACATGCTGGGAGACACATTACTGATGTTGGCAACATGGCAGAGTCTATATAGCTGAGTCCTCGGCTTACGACCGCGACAGAGCCCAAAAATCTTATGTCATTAAGGGAAAAAGTTGCGAAGTGAATTTTGCCCCCTTTTACGATTTTTCTCGCTACGGTTGTTAAATGAATCACTGCAGTTTCTTAATTAGTAACATGGTTGTTAAGTGAATCCTTGACTCTGCTCGTCAGAAGGGTCGCAAAAAGGGAGCACGTGACCCTGCCCAGGACCCCGCGACCCTCACAAATATGAACCAGTTGCCAAGCGCCTAAATTTTGATCATGTGACCGTGGGGACGCTGCGATGGCTGTAAGAGCAAAACGTGGTCGTAAATCACTTCTTCCAGAGTCATTGTAACTTCAAACAGTCATTAAATGAACTGCTGTAAGTCGAGGACTACCTGTGTTGGGCAATCCTGCTGTTTAGCTTTCATCAACTGAAATGAACAACGGTTCCTTTCTCTTGGGACAAGGACAATTTGAAGCACACACAAGCAGATCACAATCTACAAGTATTCATTTATTGGCCATTCAAACTTAACAACAACACTGAATTGACATACGATCATTTTTTTTCCACATTTTCAACCGTGGAAGCGTCCCCGTGGTTCACCTGATCAAAATCTGGAAGCTTGGCAACTGTCTCGTGTTTATGACGGTTGCGTAGTGTCCCGGGCTCACGCGATTCCCTTTTGCGAACTTCTGACAGGCCAAGTTGGCGGGGAAAAGCCAGATTTGGTTAACGACCGTGTGACGTTGAAGAACCGCTGTGATTTGCTTAACCAGCGAAGGAAAGTCGTAAAAATGAGGGGGAATCGCTTAACGAATTTCTCACCTAACCACATAGATTTTGGGCTCAGCGGTGGTCCTAAGTTGAGCACGACCTGTATTTTTTTGTGAGAATCTTATTTCAGAAATACCAAAAAAAATATATGGAGATGGGGAAGAGGAGGCTAGGCCAGGGGTAGGCAACCTTGGCTCTTTTATGACTGGTGGACTTCAACTCCCAGAATTCCTGAGCCAGCCATGCTGAGGGGAAAGGGAGAGGTTTCCATGCTGAGTCATGCTGGCTCAGGAATTCTGGGAGTTGAAGTCCATGAGTCATAAAAGAGCCAAGGTTGCCTACCCCTGCCCTAAACTAATAAAGTCTACATTAATTAATATTAATTATGCTTTCATATGTTCCTTAGGTCAGGGGTAGGCAACCATGGCTCTTTCATGACTCGTGGACTTCAACTCCCAGAATTCCTGAGCCAGCATGGCTCAGCTTGGAAACCTCTCCCTTTCCCCTCAGAGTGGCTGGCTCAGGAATTCTGGGAGTTGAAGTCCACGAGTCATAAAACAGCCAAGGTTGCCTACCCCTGGTCTTGACCAACTAATCTGGAATTTAAATAGCATTTTTTGGAAGAACTGAACAAGATTTGACTAAGGCATGAAAAACCTTTGTACCAGAAACAATGGACGTGGTCCAGCCAAAGTGTTCTAAATTACACTGGTTTAATGAGAGTTAGGTAATACAACTTTTAAAAAGTAAGAGGATGATGAAAGTGCTAGAAAAGTTTATACCAGAACAAACTGAAGCTAAATACAATTTATGGAACAATACAACAAAGCAGTTTTGAGTAAGTCAACTTGCCCCTGAGCAATTATTTACTCGAAATGTATGTGATTTTAGTTTATAAAGTGTTTAGGTTTATATTTTGCAATCCCTTCCCCTCCTGCTCATTCCTCTGGGCTGTCGTCGTCATCGTTGGCTTCCATTTTTTTTAAACCTTTTCTTTCCTTTTTTTCTTTTTTTTTTTCTACATACATGGTTCCCACGGCTTTAACCATGGACAAAATGCTGGTGGATTATAACGAGTCTCGTTTCCTTAATACAAAAATAAAATTGCATCTTTGAAGCTATGGAAGATGTAGAGCATGAAACCATCCAGTCTTTCAATTATTATTATTATTATTATTTTGTTTTGGGGAAAATTATCGATACTGAGAAAGTATTGCAAAAAATATTTGGTCTGCTGAAGTTGTCATACAAGCTGGCCAAAAATGTTTGGACGTTTTTTTTTTTTAAAAGTGTCCTTTCTTCATCTGTGACCATCTGCGACCGAATCCATGCTCTCTGGAAGCGCTTCACTTAAAACCAATCTTTTTCTTAAGTATCGTATGAATATGGAAGGGTCTCGGATGGAAATTCATTTCTAACAAGGAAGAGCTGAATTTATTTGGCTGGAATTGTGGCTTTTCTCAGCTAAGGCAGCTGGAGGGATTTTCTGATGGCAGGAGATGCTGAGGGAGTGGGAAAAATTTCTATGTCTGCTGCACTCCTCAGCGAGGTAGATTTTGATCAATTTTATCCATGAATGTCACACCGGTACCTTGTGTGTCCCATTCATACAGTTGCATGACAAAAAAACCCAGATCACTGCATCCCACTGAGAAGTGTTTGCCCAGTGGATCTACCAAGACACTCGATCCCAGGCAAAACAGAAGAACAACTTACACAACCCCACACACACACCAAAAAAAGAGAGGCAACATTGATCAGGATGTACGACATCTGCGCGGACGTCCACTTTCTGGTGATAAGTGGAGAATTATTATTTTTTTTCATTCACTCCCAGGGTTGAGGATTTCATTTTTTCCATTCCCCCGCCCTCAAAAAAATAAAAATAAAAAAGAAGTGTCTTCTGGAACATGCTTCTCTAACCAACTGTATTCAAAAAAAAAAAAAAAAAAATCCATTCGTTGCATTGCTGGGCATAAAAAGGAGACGTGCACCCTTTAATTGTAGGTACACAAAATCTCTGGCAAGGATTTGCAAACTGGATTTTTGAAAAACAGTAACTGTATCATATATATACCGGCTGATTAAATGGCAAAACTAATCAGCTTGATTATAAGATTTCTTAGTGCGAAGGAAAATAGAATCTATTTGCTGGCAAATTAGGAACGTGCTGAGCATCCCCGGGAAACAACAACAACAAAAAAAATTGTTCACATTCTTTCGGTCTGGCTGACGGCAAGAATCAAGAAGGGCCAAGCAAACATTTTTGTGTGTGTTTGTTTTTACTGACCATCAGGAAGCTTGCGAAAAATCCAAAGATCCAGTCCAGCTGAATCTGAATTAAAACGTTCAGGTCAAAAAAAAAAAAAAAAAAGGAAAGGAAAAAAACCCGGAAAAGAGCAGAAGTTCAGACGAGCATGTGGCGTTTCCGATGGAGGGCAAGATGATCCGAACGAGAGAAACTGCGATCACAGTCCGGACACTGGAACGGTTTGACTCCGGTATGTTTCCGGAAGTGCCGTGTCAGTTCATCCGATCGAGCAAACTTCCATGTGCAGCCTTCCCAAGTGCATTTGTAAGGCTTTTCACCTATTAAAAAAAAAAAGGAGAATACTTTTTTAGGAAATTATTTCAACGATGCATAAAAAAACGTACGAGAAGAGCAATATTTCTTCGCCACCAGTAATTGCATTGAACATGCCTAATGTCGGGTGTGAAATCCACACGGGAAGGTCCAATTAAGCTGATCTATTGCTAAGCGGCCTACGCACAAACATCTTCTCAGCTTGGTTAGCATCAGCTAAGAGTTAGTGGAGGGACAATAGAATCCAATGATTTATTTTGCTTGTGACTACATAGGGATTCTAAGCTGATGCCTCTTTTAACTCCGCCCCCAACTTCTGCCACTTCTTCCCCTACATCTATTTTTCCAACCGATGCTTTGATTTTAAAATAGGTCCTTCTACGTTCAAAATATGCCACAAAAAGTGAGCTTGCCAGCTATGGATAATTTGCACAGTCCAATCTATATATATATATAGATTACAGCCGATGATTATTTAAACCCCAATATCCAATCTTTCTAAATCTGAGAAACGTCACAGCAACGTTGCTAGTTGCTTCCAGCGCTACTACATTAAATGGAAAAAAACTGGAAAGATGGAAAGAAGAAGAAGAAGAAAAATATTCATAATTCTCTCCCCAAGAAGCCTTTATTTGCTTTTTAAAAAAGACCTCACCAGAAACTTTTAAATACAATTCAGTGTTTAGGGGGAAGGCGTTTACTGCCAATATAGTAGGGTGTGTGTTGTTGAATATTCCACTGAGTCATAGTTAGAAGGCCAACAAAATAAACTTGGCTACCAGGCAGAGAGACCAAGGAGAAAATAAATATCAGCCTCTTAAATTTGGTACTGTATCTACCTCTGAGGGAATAAAGCACTAAACCCACGAAATCCTATTTTCAAAGGATATAAGGATTTACAGGAAGTCCTTGATTTACGAGCACAGTTGAGGCAAAAGGGGATCACGTGACCCTGGGACACTGAGACCGTCATAAATACGAGTCCGTTGCCAAGCGTCTGAAATTTTTATCACGTGACCGTAGGGATTATTGCTGCAACGGTCGTAAGTGTAAAAAACGGTCATAAGTCACTTTGATCAGTGCTGTTGTAACTTCAGACGGTCACTAAGCCAGCTGTTGTAAGTCAAGGACTAGCTGTAGTAGGAGCTGTTTTTTTTGTTTTTTGTTTTTTACCATTTCATTAAGGTTTCTAATGCCAAGAAATTAGAAGACGCTTGCTCCTGGGGAGGAAAGCTATGGCCAATCTAGACAGCATACTAAAAAGCAGAGACATCACCCTGCCAACAAAAGTGCGTATAGTCAAGGCCATGGTTCTCCCAGTTGCAAGGTACGGTTGTGAAAGTTGGACCACAAGAAAGGCCGAGCGCCAAAGAATTGAGGCCTTTGAACTCTGGTGCTGGAGAAGACTCCTGCGAGTCCCTTGGACTGCAAGGTGATCAAACCGGTCAGTCCTAGAAGAGATCAACCCTGACTGCTCTTTAGAAGGCCAGATCCTGAAGTTGAAACTCAAGGACTTTGGCCTCCTAATGAGAAGGAAGGACTCACTGGAGAAGGGCCTAATGCTGGGAAAGATGGAGGCAAGAGAAGAAGGGGACGACAGAGAATGAGGTGGGTGGATGGAGTCACTGAAGCAGGAGGCGTGAGCTTAAATGGACTCCAGAAGATGGTAGAGGACAGGAAGGCCTGGAGGAACGTTGTCCACGGGGTCGCAATGGGTTGGACACGACTTCGCAACTAACAACAAATGCCCCGATCAAAAAAAAAAAAATCACATTTGCTTCTTACCTGTGTGTGTTCTTCTATGGGCTTTTAAATGAGAGCTCTTAGTGTACACCTTGTTGCAACCTTCGTAATCACACCGGTGTATCCGTCTCTTCCTTTGTGTGTCTGGAGATTCCACAGGTAGAGGCCTCTTCCCGGGCTGGACTATAACTGAAGGGTGATTCCTGCGTTAAGTTGAATCATATGTTAAAAACTACAACCTTTTGAATTAAATCTCTCTTTCTCTCTCTCTCTCTCTCTCTCTCTCTCTCCCTGCCTCCCTCTCTTTCTCTCCCTCTGTCTCTCCCTCCCTCCCTCTCCCTCCCTCCCTCTCTCCCTCCCTCCTTCTCTCCCTCCCTCTCCCTCTCTCCTTCCCTCCCCCCCTCTCTCTTTTAAAGGGCCTACCCCAGAATTCACATCTTCAATACCCCGTTTGTCTTCCTGGCAGTGTCCACAACATTACATACATGCGGAAAAAATTCAAGCAAGCTTAGCAAATGTCATGGACTTCTGTGGTAATAGTTTGGCTGACTTTCCGGATAGAGATTTAGTTTCATTTATTCTCTGGAATGAACCAGTCATTCCCCCTCCTCCCCTAATTTCTTTTTTCCATTTATTTATTTTTCTTCAGAACCGTCAGATTTGACTGAATATTTTAAGCCGCCATCTTGTTTTCCGGGCCAGCAGAATTCAGAAACCTCAAGTGTTTCTATTTGTTTACACGCATTTCTAAATCTCTTAGCAAAGTTGATTTTTTTTTTAAATGATAACAGATATTTTTTTTCCCTCCATGCAACTCTCCATTTTCTTTGCTCTACAGATTAAAACTCAACAGATATTATCTTCATCTATTTCTTGAGAGCCCAATTACGAAATTCTGGGTTGGTGCCACCACAAGGGCGCAAACGTCTTGGCCGTCAAAGAGTTTCCTAAAAGTAGAGCTAAGATTTATGATTACACGCAAATGCACTCTTTGTGCTTCTCAAACAATGTCTCTGGCTTCCATAAATGACATTTGTAGCGTTCCTTCTGAATACTATAATTCACGTGAGATGCACAGTGTAGTAGTCTATTTGAAGTTCACACAGACCATAGTTCCAGATATTGATGAAAACCTGATCGTGGTACTGAGGACATAGAACAGGTAATATTTTATTCTGGCCAGCGGTAAAGAATAATCTCAATTGAACAAAACAAATGACGTTCCCCCTGAGATTTAACAGAACAGCAGAATTGGAAGGGACCTTAGAGGTCATCTAGTCCAACCCCCTGCTCAGGCAGGAAACCCTATACAAATGGCTGTCCAGTCTCTTCTTAAAAACTTCCAGTGTTGGAGCATTCACCACTTCTGGAGGCAGGTTGTTCCACTGGTTAATTGTTCTAACTATCAGGAAGTTTCTCCTTAGTTCTAGGTTGCTTCTCTCCTTGATTAGTTTCCATCCATTGCTTCTTGTCCTGCCTTCAGGTGCTTTGGAGAACAGCTTGACTCCCTCTTCTTTGGGGCAGCCCCTGAGATATTGGAACACTGCTATCATGTCCCCCCTCATCCTTCTTTTCACTAGACTAGAAATACCCAGTTCCTGCAACCTTCATACGTTTCAGCCTCCAGTCTCCTAATTATCTTCATGGCTCTTCTCTGCGCTCTTTTTTTTTTTTTAAAAAAAAATCTCAACATTTGAACGGAGCCCATCTCTATGCAAACAAAAGCGATGGAAACCCTGAGATTTCTGAGTTAGGTTAAGTGTGCAAGGAGTCCAAATTTGCTAAGTCAAAGCCGAGTAATGTAGCTTTTCAATCACAATTCACTTCCCTTCCCAATCTTCCCTTGGCGAGATTCGAAAACTCTAAGCCACTTACTCTTGTAGCATGTGGGGTGACAATGAGGTCACCAGAGGAGGTGAGATTTGCTCAGGGTAGTAGTCATTCCTCGGTGATTCCATGCCTGGCTCCACCTTAATAGATTTCTTTAGTGCTGGCTTTTCGTAAGATTCGATGACAGATACTATTCGGAGGAAGAAGAGACGGGGAATAGTAAACCAAGAGAGAAGCTTGCATTTGGGTCTTCTGTCGCTGCGTTCTTACTACATCGTTCTTAAAAATGTAGACTGCAAATGCGACTAGACTCTTCCGTTTGAATTAATCTACATAACTTGAACAAAAATGCTGTTCTGTAATGAACCTTTTAACCTTATAGACAAATCTACAGTGGCTTCCATTATATTGCTTTGCTTCCTCTAGGAACACTCAGTGCTTAATAGAATAGTAGCAATCACAATTTAGCACGTTCAGCAAGTATATTTGAAACACTTTAGCTATGTTTTAGAAATTGCATTCCTCCAAGAAATGGAAAGTCAGTCTGCAAGTTTCTTTCTGCCCTTCCATTTATCACAACAGCAACTACGACAATGGGATAGCTTAAACTAGGGGTAGGCCACCTTGGCTCTTTTATGACTCGTGGACTTCAACTCCCAGAATTCCTGAGCCAGCCATGCTGAGGGGAAAGGGAGAGGTTTCCAAGCTGAGCCAGGCTGGCTCAGGAATTCTGGGAGTTGAAGTCCACAAGTCATAAAAGAGCCAAGGTTGCCTACCCCCGACCTAGAGGAACATATGAAAGCATAATTAATGTTAATTAATGTAGACTTTATTAGTTTAGAGCAAGGGTAGGCAACCTTGGCTCTTTGATGACTCGTGGACTTCAACTCCCAGAATTCCTGAGCTAGCCATGCTGAGGGGAAAGGGAGAGGTTTCCAAGCTGAGCCATGCTGGCTCAGGAATTCTGGGAATTGAAGTCCAGGAGTCATAAAAAAGCCAAGGTTGCCTACCCCTGTCCTAGAGGAACATATGAAAGCATAATTAATGTAATTAATGTAGACTTTATTAGTTTAGAGCAGGGGTAGGCAAACTTGGCTCTTTGACGATTCGTGGACTTCAACTCCTAGAATTCCTGAGCCAGCCACACTGAGGGGAATGGGAGAGGTTTCCAAGCTGAGCCATGCTGGCTCAGGAATTCTGGGAGTTGAAGTCCAGGAGTCATAAAAGAGCCAAGGTGGCCTACCCCTGCCTTAGAGAGTGCTGTAAAGGACTGTGAAGTGGTATATAAGTCTAAGGGCTATTGCTTAATTTAAAGTAAAAGATGAATGGATTCTTTAGGCTGACTTCATAAAAAAAACCAAGTCCATAAAGAAACAAAAACAAACAGGAAGACAGATGTTTACCTGGCACGCTGCTGGGGTTTTCCAACTCTTCCGAAAGAACGGTGGACACCATGATAGGCTGTTGAAGGTGTGGGGCGTACATAAAAGGGACAGGCTGAACGACGAGGGGCTGAATGACAGGAAGTATTCCGGGGCTCCTGAGTCCATGGCGTGAAAGTGCCGCCATCACTGGAGGGATAGTTAAGGGCATAGTAAAAGGTTGCATTCCTGGTGGACCCAGTTTCTTCATGGGAGGGCTGGGTGAAGGAAGATTTAACCCAGGGGAAGCTCTTTGGGATAGAGTCTGGAATTTTAAAGGAGAAGGACAGTGTCCAGCTGATGGGGGTGAGCTCCGTTTATTGACCGTAAGGTCGACTGGCTCCATTTGAACCCCGTTGCACAGTCCGTCTGGAATCTGGTAGAACTTATTGGACATCATATTGGGTGTAGAGTAGATGACGCCGTACTTGTTGGACTTCATGTGGTCCATGTACGTCGAGTTGAAGGACTACCGAAGAGAAGAGGGAAGAAAGGAATGAATGAATGAATGAAAACGGGTGGCAGAAAAGAGAAAGAGAGAAAAAAAAATACGTATTGGAGAATAGGCTCTACTTGTGGCTCGTTTCTGTCATGCTCTGACTTGAGTTCTGCTAGACTTCAAATTAAAGTTCACTGAATATAGAGAAACCTTTGTTGAAAACCACACTACAAATGACAATGCTACGCAGAGAGAGAGGGAGAGAGAGAGAGAGAGAGAGAGAGAGAGAGAGAGAGAGAGAGAGAGAGAGAGAGAGAGAGAGAGAGAGAGTGGCCCAAAATCACCCAGCTGGCTTTCGTGCCTAAGGCTAAGGCAGGACTAGAACTCACCATCTCCTGGTGATTGACTCTTATGCCTAAGATGGAACTAGAACTCCCAGTTTCCTGGTGATTGGCTCAGAGTCAACTAGCCAGCTTTTATGCCTAAGGCAGGACTAGAACTCACCATCTCCTGGTGATTGACTCAAAATCACCCAGCTAGCTTTTATGCCTAAGATGGAACTAGAACTCCCAGTTTCCTGGTGATTGGCTCAGAGTGAACTAGCCAGCTTTTATGCCTAAGGCAGGACTAGAACTCACCATCTCCTGGTGATTGACTCAAAATCACCCAGCTAGCTTTTATGCCTAAGATGGAACTAGAACTCCCAGTTTCCTGGTGATTGGCTCAGAGTCAACTAGCCAGGTTTCATGCCTAAGGTGGGACTAGAACTCACCATCTCCTGGTGATTGGCCCAAAATCACCCAGCTGGCTTTCATGTGTAAGGTGGAACTAGAACTCCCAGTTTCCTGGTGATTGGCTCAGAGTCAACTAGCCAGGTTTCATGCCTAAGGCGGAACTGGAACTCCCAAAGTCTCCTGTTTCTAGGCCAGCAGCACCTTAATCCCTACACCAAACTGGCTTCTGTTCTTGGCCACATCCAGAGACGTTTTCCATTGGTCGGTGTCTCTCGATCCAAATACTACATTTCAAATCTATGTCTCTGCTGAAGCAACCGTGTCTGCAAACAGGTAACGCTTTTTGATACCTGCAGTAAGTTTTTATGTAAATCAGTTTATTTGTTACAAAGGCTCAGAATGAGTCTTTCACCCACCTGTGCCCTATTTTGTCATCTTGCATCTTTCAGAACCGAAAAAAATTGTGGATGGTTATTACAAACAGCCTTATTACCATGCAACGAGAATAAATATTAACATATATGCTATTTTTAAATACTGACCACTGGAATGGGCTCCATGGCTTCCTGTTTGATAGGGACTGGGTCAAACATTAGCATTTTTTCTTGAGATAAATACCCGGGATTCTAAAAAAACAGGGGGGAAAAAAAAGCAGGACAGCTGTAATTTTTATTTTACACCACTTAAGTACGGAACTTAGCATTAACAAAGCGTATTTCAATTGTGGATTACAGCAATCCACAAACCATTACCAAAAAAAAAAAAAAAAAAAATCAGATTAAAGGCATTTTCAAAATCTAAAAAGTTTTCTTTGTATTTTCTGCGTTTACCATGTACAACCTGTTCAAATTCCAAACTCTCAAGATCCTTTAAAAGCAGCATGATTTCAACACGACATTTTGGAATAAGGACGCACATTTTAAGACAATGTTTTGAAGAGTCAGGAGCCTTAGAAAACATGGTAAAGGATGGAAGATTTCAAGAGTTGGCAGAAATTTTACAAGGTAAAAAAGTGCATCAATTAACCTGGAGCCCTAGCTGAGATTGTATTTTGCAATATATCACACTGTTATTCAGTACCAGTTTATGGCCACAGTTGAACCCAAAATTTCTGTTGCTACGTGGAACATTTGTTAAGTGAATGTGGCCCCATTTTATGACCTTTCCTGCAACAGTTGTTAAGTTAATAACACAGTCATTCAGTTAATATCACATGATCCAGGGACACTGCAACCGTCAAAAGTACGAGTCAGTTGCTAAGCATCTGAAATTCGATCACGTGACCACGAAGATGCTGCAGCGGTCATTTAAGTGTGGAAAAACGGTCTCAAGTCACTTTTTTCCAGTCCTGGTGTAACTTTGAGCGATGAATGAACTAAATCAGTGGTTCTTAACCTGGGCGATATTGCCCCCCTGGGGGCGATTTCATTTTTCAGGGGGGCGATGGAGCGAAAAGGGGCGACGTGGGGGCGAAGAAACGAAAAGGGGGAGATATGGGGGCGATGGAGCGAGAAGTTTTGGGGACACTTTTGAGACTTTTTTGTACATTGAATGGCTGTCTATCTGTCATCCAAAAACATCAGATCGCTCGCTATTAGTGGATTGAATTGTGTTTTCAAATGTTCCTCCAGCTAGCTTCAGTACAGAATGCCGTACATATGTGAATACGCATCGCTTATCGTTATGCACGTTGCACAGCAGCCTCTACTCATACAGTGGCGCGCCATTGGCCAGAATATGGGAGATATGGGAAAAAGACTGGAAATAAATTATTTGCATCAATGTCCTGATGACAATTTTAAAGAAAACAAAAAAAGTGTTTGCATAAATTGAATAATTATTTCCTATGTTGTGATTGAGAGGTTATGTTGGGGGAGGGGGGCGATGACAACTTCCTCATTGGCTCAAGGGGGCAATTCGTTCAAAAAGGTTAAGAACCACTGAACTAAATGAACGATATTCAACTGTTAACACGAAATACTCTATTTGCATCCATAGGTGGCGCTAGAAATGCATAAAAACCAATCCTATTGGTACAAATTGGATACCAATTTTTGAACAACTCTTTGGGATGTTAACCAACAGACTAAGGAGAATCATTTCCAACTGGGTATTTTTGGTATTAAAACTGCAAGTTCAGAAGTTCCTAAGTATAACACAAAGGATTAATCGCAAGGCACGTGCCTTTTATACAACAAGCGGACCTGGAATCGATTTGACTTTGCTAGATTAATTCAAGCTGTGGAAGACGAATGGAAAACTGAATTTATGCCAATGATCTTCCGAATTCTGGCTCATTATATGTTCCCATCTGGCTTTATAAACTTACTTTGTCCATAATGCCTAACAAATGAAGGAGATCGCTTTCAATATTTTTACGCACGATTTTTCACAAATATTTATTATTTTCACAATAGGCGAAGAATCAGGCAAGAATAATTCAAACCTCAAATTAAATACTCCCTGATTAGAAAAACCTGGAATTGATAGAGTGAAATACTTTCAAATTCACACTTGCTGATCCACAAGCCAATCACTTGGTGCGTTTCAGAGTTTTGCCAAATTTTAAGACAAAAGGAGAGCTTTTTAAACAACAGGCGGCTGTGAGTTCTAGTCCTGCTTTGTGCACGAAGCACAATCCCTTTTTCGCAGCCTTATGAAGGAGACGGTGGCAAACCACTTCTGAAAAAAAAAAAAACTCGCTGAGTAAACCGTAAGGACTAATCCAGAAAACCTTTGAGAATGGAAGAATTTTTTTCAAAAAGGTAAAAACTGAACAGCTTGCCTCTCCTGCGTTTTCCAAAACTCACTTTTCCCTCAATGGATTTTTAAAAATTTCTAATTCCAATTTTTTTGGGGGGGGCAATCGGGAGTTATGTTTTTTCAGCCCCCCCAAACCGACTCAGTGACGTGAAGACTTGGCAGCTTTCTTAAAAGTTAAATAAGTAGGCCGAGTTCAAAGATGAAGTCCTGGGTATCCTACATTTTATAAACGTAGAATTGTAGGCAGTATTCAAAAGAAATCGAAGAACAAACTCTTCTGTTCCCTTAAGAAAAAAAACAGTCTTGTCCCTTGTGTTAAACACACACACACACACACACACACACACAAACCCCTGCACAGTGTAGTTTTTCCCGTCTCCTCCCTGTTGCTCCACCCTAGGGATCGGTGCCAAGGCAAGGCAACTTGTCCAAACAGGACACGGTTTTGATAAGATTTCGCTCACGCCTTGTGCTAAGTGAAGAAATGGGGGTTTGTATGCAAATAAGGCCAGGTATAAAGGTGAGAAGCGAACAAGATGTAAGCCATAGGTCTGATAACCAGAAGAATGCACAAATTCAATTTCTTTTCTGTTCTACAATTTCTCTGCCGAAAGAGAGAGAGAACCACAACCAGGGGAAGCAAGACGAGAGGAAAGAGAATTTATTTGGTTTCTTTGTAGATGTATCCTATCTACAGGGAGTCTTCAACTTACGACCACAATTGAGCCGCCGCTCAGCAAGGCCGTGGTTGAGGGAGTTGCACTCCATTTTACTTTTGCCACAGTGGTTCGATGAATCATAGGGGTGTGTGTTAACTGAACCATATGGTCACAAAGCGAATTTATGTGTGGCAAGTGAATGGAATGGACGTATTCTCTCTGGTTTGTGGGAAGCTGGAGGAGAGGTTACAAAATGGTGATTGCGTGGCCCCGGGACACTGCAACTGTCATAAACACACAAACACAGTACAGTGCCCGAACTCGGATTACTTGACAGTGGGGACGCTGCATTGGTCATAAAAGGGAGGACCTGACACAAGTCCAGTCACTTTCGGTGAGATTGGCAGATTTGATAAATAAGTCAATCAAAATAGAATTGGAAGGGACCTTGAAGATCGTCTAGTCCACCCCCCTCTTCAAGCTGGAGATCCTATATCATTTCAGACTAGTGGCTGTCCAATCTCTTCTTAAAAACTTCCAGTGACGGAATGCCCATGATTTCTGGTGGCAAGCTGTTCCACTGGTTATTTGTTCTAACTGTCAGGAACTTTCTCCTTAGTTCCAAGTTGCTTCTCTCTTTGGTTAGTTTCCATCCGTTGCTTCTTGTCCTGCCTTCAGGCGCTTTGGAGAATGGCTTGACTCCCTCTTCTTTGGGGCAGCCCCTGAGATATTGGAACACTGCATCATGTCCCCCCTACTCCTTTCCCCCCCCTAAACATTCCCAGTTCCTGCAACCATTCTTCATATGTTTTAGTTTCCAGTCATCTTTGTTGCTCTTCTCTGCACTTTTTCTAGAGTCTCTGTATCGTTTTTACATTGTGGTGACCAAAACTGCGTGCAATATTCCAAGTGTGGACTTACCAAGATATTATAAAGCGGTACCAACACTTCACATGATCTTGATTCTATCCCTCTGTTAATGCAGCCTAGATTGTATTGGCTTTTTTAGCAGCTGCTAGCTCATATTTACTACTACTACTACATATTTACCCTCTCTCAATAGTTACTACTATTAAGCCAGGTACCACCTATAATGCACCTGCATATTTGATTTTTCTTGCCTAAATGTAGAACCTTCCTTTTCTCACCACTGAATTTCATTTTTTTAAAATATTTTTTTATTTTTCCAGACTCCCCCCCATACATATACTGTGATATTTATCAGAAATATTGGAAAGCACTGAAAGCCCCCCCCCCAGAGGGAGAGGTGATTGGGAAAATACTGGAATGTGCAGAAATGAATAGACTAACAATGACAATTAAAGATAAGACAGAGTCAGACTACTATGAAATCTGGGGAACTTTTTACTGGAAAGAGAATACGGTTAAAAGATAGTTAACATCAATTTAGATCCGTGTTTCTCAACCTTGACAATTTTAAGGCTGTGGAATTCTGGGAGTTGAAGTCCACATGCCTTAAAATTGTCAAGGTTGAGAAACACTGGGTTAGATGGAAGAAGGAGGAGCAGATAAGGAGGGAGATCCAGGTGACACAGTATTGAATAACTGGAGGTTGTATAAATATTTATAGAAGTATATACCAAGAAGGTTAGATAAATAGAAGTATTAATGTAAGAGAAAATTAATCTTATTGTATATAATACAGCTAGGGAAATTTGGAGAGAGGAGTTGCTGGGACGTTACCCCTGAACTATATCTGAAGAGGGATGAAAGGGAAGAAAGGAGAGGAGAGAGAAAAGAATAAAGGAGGGGAGAAGTGGTGAAGGAAAGAGAAGAGGAGAGGAAGAAGAGGGAAGTAGGGAAGAGAAGAAAGGGAGAAAGAAGGTAGAGAAGAAGGAATGTGGATACAGTGAAAGGGGAAAGGAGCGAGCAACATCACTGAATTTCATTTTGTTGTTTACCATCCAGGCCACAATCTCAATCACTCTCTTGCTTGCTTCTATAGATCCCGTATGTTCCTGTAAATACATTTTCCTTAATTCCCATTTTCACATGAGGAAGGAAGGAAGAAGGAACTCCTTCTAATGGCGTTGTGAAATTCACTCATTTATTGCTCTCAAAATTCCCTAAAGCTTAGGAATTTTGGCTGCCATCAAAAGAAAAGATTTACTTTTCTTTCATTAGTCCAACAAAATACTTTTAACAAAGTTCCCTTAGTTTTAACAAAGTGCCCTTTAAGTGTT